AACTTATATTGTAATATGTGTCAACTTTCTAAGACTGAATATTCCATTGTATGTATATAAACCACGTTTTGTTTACCCATTCATGTGAATATGAGCACGAGTTGCATTTACAATTTGTCTATTGTGAATAATGCTCTGAACAAGAGTAGAGAGATACCTCTGTGAAAACATCCTGCTGTCAATTTGGAGTACATGCCCAGAAACTGAATTTCTAGATTATAATTCTATTTTTAATTTTTGGAGGAACCACAGCAACTGTAATGTACCTTCCCACCAACACAAGTTCCCATTTCTCCACATCCTTGCCAATACTTGCTATTTTCTGGTTTTGATAGTAGCTATCCTAATGGATACGTAGTGATACCTACTGCGGTTTTCACCTAATAATTATTAGTGCTGTATTACACATTTTTTCATGAGCTTACTGGACATTTATATATCCTCTTTGGAGAAATGTTATGTTCAACTTCATTGCCCATTGTTTTTCTTAGTTTTTTGGTGCGTTTCTTAAGGAATTATAGTTCTTTATTCTGGATATTAACCTTTCTCTAAACATATGGCTCACAAATAGTCTTTTGTATTCCACTGGTTGACTTCACTCTCCTGTGTCATTAGATGTACAGAAGTTTTTGATTTTTATAAAGTTCAATGTATCTATTTTTTCTGTTACCAATGCTTTTAGTCATACCCAATGTCATGAAGATTTTCCCCTATGTTTTCTTCTAGCAGTTTGATAGTTTTGGCTCCTGCGTTTAGGTCTTTGATTCATTTTGAATTAATTTTTGTATATGGTGAAAGGCGAGGTTACAACTTCATTCTTTTACACATGGTAAAGATGACTTCTGACAGAAAATTGAGCCCACGACAGGGAAGCGGTCTGCTAGACACGCGGCAGGGGGACACCCAAGCTTCCTGTGTCTCTGTCACAAGTGTCCTCTACTCTTTAGGAAGCAGACACTCTAGGAGAATGTGACCCTGGCTTTACTCTTCTGTCTCATCAGAAGCAACTGGGGAAAGAAAATGGGATATTGGAACTGATGGGTTTCCCTCCAGATGGGGTCAGCCTGTCCCACACTCAGACCACTGTGCCACGAGCAGGTGATGGGCTTCTTTTCCCTTAGGTAAGAGAGTTCTTCAGGACACCTGTAACCACCAAATGTGAACAGCTTCCGCAGAAAAGATACGGTAAGAATGCTGGCTCTGTGTTCAGTCACAGGGCAATTTGGCAGAAAGCAGCTTGAATTCACTGACACGAACAGGGAAATGTTAATGGCCTTCCATGTGTACACCCTTTGTCCCCAGAGACCAATAATCTTGAGACAGTATGTATTCTGTAGCTTTACCTTGAGAAAGAAAAGGAAGGTTTGGGGGTTTTGATAAGCCTGTTGGGCTAAGGCAGGGACTGGCATATCACAGCCCACAGCTAAAAAGTTGTGTATTTTTTTTCCTGTTGTTGTTCTTTTTGAGACAGTGTCTCATTCTGATGCCCAAGCTGGTGTGCAATGGCACGATCTCAGCTCGTTGCCACCTCTGCCTCCCAGGTCCAAGTGAGTCTCATGCCTTAGCCTCCCGATTAGCTGAGATTACAGGCCCACACCACCACAACCTGCTAATTCTTTATATTTTTAGTAACGATAGGGTTTGGTCACGTTGCCCAGGCTGGCCTTGAACTCCTGAGCTCAGGCAGTGCACCTGCCTCACCCTCCCGCAAGGTGCCAGGATTACAGGCGTTAAGCATTGTGCCTGGTCAGTTTTACTGGAACAGAGCCATGCTCGTCTACACGTGGTTTATGGCGGCGTTCTTGCTTCAGTGGCCGAGCTGAGTAATTGCGACAGACGTATGGCCCAGAAAGCCTAAACTAATCACTGACCCTCTACAGAAACTGGTTTGCCCATCTCCAGACTGGGGTAACAAGAAGTTGAATGGGCACAGCAGAAACTGTGACCACGGGGGCTGGCTGCAGTGTGATCTTTAGCCACAGCTGGAAAAGCACTAGTGTCAACTTCAGGGACGTTCTAGCTATTCTGTTCTCACACTCCTTCCCTAGTCTCAGCCCAGAGGAGATCTTACTTCTAAGCTCTTGTTGTAAAAAGTCTCTGAGCACAGAGAAGAGGGCAAGAGCCCCCTGGGAACCAGGTCCCAGCCTCTCAAGACACATGAGGAGGTCCACGGTTAAAAGGCCAAATGGCCACTTAGAAGTAAGGCTCTAGGCCAGTCGTGGTGGCTCATGTCTATCATCTCAGCACTTTGGGAGCCTGAGGCAGGTACATCACCTGAGGTCAGGAGTTCGAGACCAGCCTAGCCAACATGGTAAAACCTCGTCTCTACTAAAAATAAAAAAATTAACCAGGCACCAGTGGCATGCGCCTATAATCCCAGTTACTCGGGAGGCTGAGGCAGGAGAATTACTTGAACCCAGGATGTAGAGGTTGCGGTGAGCTGAGATCATGCCACTGCACTCCAGCCTGGGCAATGGAATCAGACTGTCTGGAAAAGAAAGAAGTAAGGTCCTAACTACAAGGAATGGATGGAATCTAACATTGTCATTATCTTCAACTTTCTTACACATGTAATTCATAACTCACGCTTAAAATTTATGGTTTTAAGCATGGGAGAAATGCCAGATATAGGTGATGGGGAGGAAGGCAGCAAATCACGCTGCCATGTGTGTGCCTCTGCCACAACCCTGCATGTTCTTCACATGTACCCCAAAACCTAAAATGCAAAAATAAATAAATAATACGTTTTTAAAAATGATGATTTTCACTTTAATGGAGTTGTGGGCAATTCTCAAACTTCTCAGCCTGATTTAATAGAATGCGCCAGAAAGACAAAGGTCCAAGCTCGGCTCTGCCACTGTGAGCCAGCCTCAGAAAAGTGACCAGATTCTGCTCACTCCGATTTCTTCATCTGTGAAGAGGAGAACGATTCCAAGAGCCGCTCTTGGAATTCAATATGAGAAGGGACGTGAAACTTCTGGGACCTCCCACAGATGCCAGTTTCCTTTCCTTCGCCTGTCCGGCACCACTCACCAACAGCAGCCTCCCCTCTGGAGTCCGGGCCTCCAAAGCAGCCACCCCTCTGGAGCCCGGGCCTCCAAAGCAGCCACCCCTCTGGAGCCCGGGCCTCCAAAGCAGCCACCCCTCTGGAGCCCGGGCCTCCAAAGCAGCCTCCCCTCTGGAGCCCGGGCCTCCAAAGCAGCCTCCCCTCTGGAGCCCGGGCCTCCAAAGCAGCCTCCCCTCTGGAGCCCGGGCCTCCAAAGCAGCCTCCCCTCTGGAGCCCGGGCCTCCAAAGCAGCCTCCCCTCTGGAGCCCGGGCCTCCAAAGCAGCCTCCCCTCTGGAGCCCGGGCCTCCAAAGCTCCATCTCACGGTGTTTCCTTCTCCCCTCCCCTCACTCTCACAGGCCGCACCACAAGCAGCGGGCTCTAGTGGGCGCCACACATGAACAGACAATTGTCTAACATGTAAAGGATTTTCAAAATACAACTAGGTATGTTTTCTTCGGGTAAAATGTCTATTCTTTGGAAGATGCTGTAGGTTTAGCCTACTGGAGACGCCCAGCTCTGGGAACTATGTCCTGAAGCTTTAGGTCATTCCCACTCCTAGGGATCCCTGGTGATGATATAAAGGAAATTCTGAAATACGAGTCTTGCGTAGTTCAGATGAGGCCAGTTCCAGCACGGACCAGCTCCTCTCCGATGCTCACTCAAACCTGTAGTTTGGTCTCAGGACTGACTGCTTTCCCGAGGATCACAGAGCGTCTGAGAGCACCAGAATGCCATGGCTCCCAGCTTCTATTTCCTCACCTCGCCTTCAGATGAGTTCAAGAGAAGACTTACCACAGTGTTATTATAGCAAAATATTGCTGGACGCTTAGATGCCGGGCACTGGATAAATCAATCATGCCCCTATGCAGACATTACGATGTGTGCTAGACCTACAGTCATTAAAGTGAACATATATGCCATACATTTCAGTAAAAGCAGCAGCCTTCAAAATCATGTAAGTTTATTTTCATAAAATACAAGTATTTACTCACATGTGTATATGGGCATAGGGAAAAATGGGGAAATGTAAGAACAGTAGTTTCCTGAGGTTATAGATGGTTTCTTTTATGTATTTGTGTGCATTGTCTTAACTATGCAAGACTTCTATTTCGAAATTTCCTTTATAATAGGAAAAATGCATAATGCTACCTCCCATTTGAGAAAAAAAAAAAAAGACCAGTATGTCTCCTTCAATATAGACACATAAATACCAAGAAAAAATAGACCCTGCCCTCCGGGGGTAAGCTTTGTCACACAAGCAGAGTGACAGCAAAGGAGCTCGATTAGGAAACTCCAAGTTTTGGTTCATTTTTTTTCATTATGTTCAAGAACGGCGAGTTTACAGAATCAGAACTGGGAAATATACGAGCTAGAAGGCCTTGCAGAGACCAGCAGCGCTCAGGTTGCCGGATGGCTGGAGCAGCTGCATGTCTTGCTGGGGTCACACAGCCAGCCCAGGACTCTTCTTCTCACTCTTGGTGGCCTCCTGTCCTGGTCCTTCAACCTTCATCTTTCAAGGACTCTTTGGCCCAACCTCCTGCACCCCTACTTTCCACTTGAACTCTTTTGGGTAGCCATCCACACCCCGTGGTAATAAATTTGAGTCAATTCTGGGCCAAAGGGGACCTGCTGTTACCAAAAGGAAAGGAACCCTGACTGGGACCTAGGAAATCCATCTTCTGCGTTGCGGGCTGAGCCCTGCCTGGTGACCTAAACCTGCATGAACCCCAGCTTGTTCCTAACAGCAGTTAACCAAAGCCATTTGACCCACAAGACCACGGTGAGGAACCGAGCACGTGATATCACTGTGCTTCAAACCAAGTCACGTGCTGTGACTGTCAGGTATGCCGAGTCTGGTTATTCAATGGATCTGCTCAAAACGGTCTAACGCACTGTTTTTTTTTTTAAGCCAAAAAAAATAAAATAAATAAATAAATAACACCCCACTCAAGCCAGATGGTGAAGACTTTAATGCCATGAGAATAACAATCAATGAGCTTCAAGAGTAGAAATTCTAACTGATGGAAAGAAAAGGAATCATCAATACAAATTTTATGGCATCTTGAGTCTGAGATCATCCCAAGAGCAATCTCTTCCCTGATGAAGGCGTGTAAACTTCCAGGGTAGGCAAACAGTATTTTGGGTCATTCGACCCTGGGCTGGAGTCCTGCTCAGCAACCAGTCTGTGCTAGTTTCCAAATGAGAGAAATAGTACCTACCTCTGGGGACTGCCACAAGGTTCAGGCAGATAAGGCATTTAGGGCCATCTAATGCAGGGTCTGGCACAGAGCAAGCAGGCCACATATGGTAGTTATTATTATTCTCATAAAATTATAAGTTGCTGGGGAATTCTGCTAATAAATTATTGACTACTAAGATTAGGGATTTTTTAAAATTATAGTTGTACCTTCTCTTCTTTAAAACTACCTTTGATGTAAACAGGAATTCTAACAATTTAAAAGTTCGGGGAAAGAGTTAAATCAGTAACATATTGTGCACATTCTTGTTTTGATTTTATTTTCTAAGTTCTCCACACAAACCCAACATATCTCTTTCTAAGCTACTATTATGTCCTCCCTCGAAAATAAAACATGAAAATTTTTATTAAAAAAGAGGTTCATTTTCCTTTTGGGCCACAGAGAGACCCGGCTAGCATCATTTCAAGCGGTCCCATTTGCAGTAACTGAAATGACTGATGCTGTCAGTGAACTGAAGTGGCCTCGTGAGGATTGTTGCCGTTTGCCTCAATGATGATCAGATGAAATATCGCCGGTGGAGTCTTACCGCGGATGTCTTCACATCAGAGCGGCTTGCACAAAAGCGACGTGAAGTCAGCACGGGCTTGCTGCTCTTCTCGTGCATGGTTTCCATTTTGGTATTATATCATGAACAGCTGTAAGGATAATGTTAATCGTCCCTTCTGGAAACATTCATCACAAGGGTTTATTTATTATTTGGTTTACGTATTTAAAAGTTAAAGCATTTCCAAGCTGTCACCATTAAAATATTTCTAATATCGCACAACAGCAATTATTTCCGGGAGGCTCTTCTTCCGATTTCCACGTAGGAAAGAAAATAATGACCAAGGTTCTATGGGTTTGGTTAATGAGACTGGAGGGTGCATTGGAAATGGTGCTTTTTTTCATGGAGAACCTAAATTTGGGGCATATCAAAATAGAGCTATAAATTTGGAGATGGTATGGACGATGGACTTGGGAGTTACCGATAACATAGAAGTTCTGTGGGTTTTGCAACCCTAAAACAGTAATATCTTCGTCATATAGGACTTTGCGAAGCATATTCTGTTTTTAATCTTAATTTTCCAGTTGTCCTGTAAAATAAGCATCTGTAAATACTACAAACTTAACTGATAAACAAACTGACAGTTTTCATGGCTTGCACAAGATCAGACAGGGTTTTGTTTTGAGACAGTTTCACTTTTTTTTTTTTTTGAGACGGAGTTTCGCTCTTGTTACCCAGGCTGGAGTGCAATGGCGCGATCTCGGCTCACCGCAACCTCCGCCTCCTGGGTTCAGGCAATTCTCCTGCCTCAGCCTCCCGAGTAGCTGGGATTACAGGCACGTGCCACCATGCCCAGCTAATTTTTTGTATTTTTAGTAGAGACGGGGTTTCACCATGTTGACCAGGATGGTCTCGATATCTTGACCTCGTGATGCACCCGCCTCGGCCTCACTCTTATTGCCCTGGCTGGAGTGCAATGGTGTGTGGTCTCAGCTCACTGCAACCTCTACCTCTTGGGTCCAAGCAATTCTCCTGCCTCAGCCTTCCTAGTAGCTGGGATTACAGCCTGGCACCACCACACCTGGCTAATCTTTGTATTTTTAGTGGAGACTGGGTGTGGGTTTCATCGTGTTGGTCAGGTTGATCCCAAACTCCTGACCTCAGGTGATCCACACGACTCGGCCTCCCAAAGTGCTAGATTACAGGCATGAGCCACCGCACCCGGCCTAGCCAGTTAATTTTTTAAAATAACAATTGATATACCAGACGCTGTGCCACGTTACCCCCAGCTTCCACTAAGCCAGACTGTGTGAGTTAGGAAGAAGGCAGCCCAGGCCTCTTGGCTTGACAAGCTGAGAATAGGCTGCATGTCAGCACCTCACCCCCAACAGCCAGGCAGCTCGGCGCAGGGCACAGGCAGTCCAGCCACACAACGAAAGCCCGGTGCTAGAGCCTGGGAATACAGCATAGGCCCAAAAGGGCACAGTCTTAGCCTTTAGCGATTCAAACTCATCCAACTTAAAAAAAAAAAAAAAGGGCTGGGCGCGGTGGCTCACGCCTGTAATCCCAGCACTTCGGGAGGCCAAGGCGGGTGGGTGGATCACGAGGTCAAGAGATCGAGACCATCCCGGTCAACATGGTGAAACCCCATCTCTACTAAAGATACAGAAATTAACTGCGCATGGTGGCGCGTGCCTGTAATCCCAGCTACTCAGGAGGCTGAGGCAGGAGAATTGCCTGAACCCAGGAGGCGGAGGTTGCGGTGAGCCGAGATTGCGCCATTGCACTCCAGCCTGGGCAACAAGAGCGAAACTCCGTCTCAAAAAAAAAAAAAAAAGTCGCACAGAACAGATACACCTGTTTTGGATACCATGGCCGATGTGCTCTCCTCCGTGTCTTTTTTTTCTGATTGTTTGGGCAGGGTGGGGGGATCATTGTGTATGCAGGCTTGTGGCTTACACAACTGCAGTGTATGTTCTTACTGTTCTAAGTCCAACACCACGGTGATAGCTGGTGGTTCTTCCGAGAACCTCTCTCCTTGGCCTGCAGATAGCAGCTGTCTTCTAGTGTCTTCATATCGTCTTTCCTCTGTGCGTGTCTTGCCCTAATTCTCACCTTTATTTTTGAATATTTGACCTTTGTTTTATAACCGAGACATAATTTTGTGTGCTTTGAGTCTGCAGTGTGAAATTTCAACACACGTGGGCATCGTACAATCATTCAAATCAGGGTAGTGTGGCCGTCACCTCAACCCTTGATCACCTCTTCATGGTGGTAATTTTCAAGACCCTGTCTTCTAGCTCTCAGTCTAGGCTTCTCTTGATTCTGTGGGCTGGGAAGGATTCTCTGCTTCCCCCCAGGTTCTAGTTAATTTAGGGTGGCGTTCTGCTCTTTGAATACTTTCTAGTGTTACTTTTGTTGGGGGTGGGGGAGTAATTAATGGTAGTCTACCATGTTGCTGACGTCATCCCCCATTGTATGTTGCAATCTAAGTTTCCCAGTTATAGTTTGATGAATAAAAGCCAACTGGACTGTGAACGCGCAGCACAGTCTCACTGACACTGCCCAGCCTCTTCTTGGCACTCCGTGTCACCTACTGCCTTTGCCACTTGAAAATGCACCGGAAGAGGCAGCTCTACATTTCTCACTTCCAAAGAAATCCTCACCAAGTCTTCCTTTCCTCCACAGTAAACTGTAACATGCATCAAGTGTGAAAAAACAATCTTCCCATCCCATATGGACTTAAAAAGAAATTATATTGCGCAAATCTTAAGAGACACGGCAAACAGCAAATAATGCGATTTGTTACTACAGAGTAGTACTTAAGAAAGAAAATGGATTCTTTACAAGTCCCTGCCACACAGCCCCTATGAAAAAAAGAAAGAAAGAAAATGGATTCTTTTTAAAGAAGCCTTTGACTGAACTTCCTAATTTTAACTTTAAAAATGAGATTCCTGGGTGTTGAGAGTCCAGGATTTTCCCTGAGACACAATAAAGAAATGTAAGAATGCTGAAGGAATTCAAGGCATGACTGTGGAAACTGGGTTGGGATCATCTCGAAGGAATAAAGGATGTCCCATCCCCCATGACTCTGCTTCTCCTCGTTTGGGTTCCTTTGAAGTTCTAAAGGTGGGGTTGTCCTTGGAGGGCCTCCCCTGCATGTCATTGCTCCCCGCTCCCTGATCACAGTGATGGAGTTCTTTGCTCCCCTACAGCCTGGAAAGAAAGCCACCCCTCCCTTCAATAGTGCCCTGATGCTTTGATCTGGGGCAGGGTCAGAGGAACCCTCCCGTGAGACAGGGTGGCCAGCAAAGCTGGGTTTCCAAATTCCAGAGACCCTATTTAGAAGGTGTTTCCATGCTCCTCCGCTACCTGAAGCACCTACTGTTCATCTGCTCTGGGACCCCTGCTCTGCCCCATGTGTGGCCTTTAAGTGAAAGCAGCTGATGGAGGTGAACGGTTCTCCAGTCCAATAAACGTGTGTCCAAATGCACACTGACCTGTTTGGTCACTGACTAATGCACAGGCTGGAGGGTAGCAAGGTGTGAAGCAAAGAGTTGGAGATTTAGAGCCAACCTGACTCCTCACCTCCCAGAGTCAAGACCTTGGACGAGACACCCAGCTCTCGTGAGGCTTGGTTTCCTCCAAGGTAGAAGAGAAAGGCTAGCACCTGCTTCAAATAAAATAAAATAAAATGGAACAGTAACAAATATTGCCCTGCGTGGTTCTTAGAAGGTTTAAGTTCATGACTCTCAAGTCCCAGCCGCTTCCCAGCTAAACAATCTCGTAACTACGGTCATCACCGTCTCAGCTCTTGCTCTGGGATTTCTCTGGCAATTTTCGAGTATCTAGGGCTGGTTTCTATCAAGAAACAAAAGATTTCCTGTCTACCCCTTCATTCTCACCACCCTGAGCTTCCCGCCAAGAGGAGGCCTCAGCAACAGGCTCTTTCTTGGTGCTTCTTTGTCCCTGCCAAGGGTCAGAGGGCAGGGACGCCATCGCAGAGGCAGGTGTTGCGCGCAAGGGTAGCGACAATTCATTTTTCTTGTGTCTGGAACCTCTTGGCTGCAAGTTTCCTCCTTGACATACAATCCTCCTCCCCAGTGCCCCGCCCCACCCTTTCCCACCCTTTCTTCTTGGTTCGTTTTTTGTTTTATCCCAAAGCTGTGAACAGGTTGACTGGTTTGTCTGTTTTTCTAAAGGGAGGGTCTTTACAATTGCAGTGGCTGAAAAGGTCAGTTACAGAGTGTGTGTGGCCTGAGAGAGCTGCCCCTCTCTGCAGCTGGGCATGGTCCACACGGGCAGCCCGAGTCCCGCTGAGAGCCCTGCAGACGCAGACACACGTGCGCACACACACACACACACACACACACACCCGCACACGACCTGAGGCTCACGTGCAACTCTTTGACCTCGGTCTTCACTCCCATCTCGCGTTCTGCTGCCTGGGTCTGAGCCCTTCCGTAGGACCCCACCTCGCCCCCTCTGCTTCACACCGACCCAGGCATACTGTCCTCCTTAGTTCTTCCTCTCCTTTCCCTCCTCACAGCTCTCTGCCTTCTGCTTTTCCCTGCGTCCTTTCTAGGCTCTGTGTCTTCTCTGGGCCTCCGTTTCGCCCTGGCCAAGCCTTTTCCCTGCCCCCAACCTGTTACTCTTCTACACAATCAACATTCCAACCCCCTCAAGCCTGGGGCAGTGAGGAGGGGGACGCAGTTCTGAGATCCAAAGCAATTAGGGGCGCCTTTTGCCATCCAAGAAAGTGCCAGTGGCTCGGCTTAAAGCAGGCCTTGGTCTCCAGGCTCCCCATTCCCCCCCACCCCCCCAACATCCCCCCCACCCCTTGCCCTATCAATTAGCAGCAATGCTGAGCTAAATACCACTGTTCAGGGGACAAGCCTTTCTAACTGGAAATCATTAGCTTTTTACCTTATTTTTTTTTTTTAATAAATCATGGCCCAAATAACCAAATAATGAATCTCTCATTAAGCTGCGTAATCAATCTTCATAACCCATGGAAATACACTCTGGAAAGACTGCCTTTTACTGCTGTTGAAAACCTCAGTTTCATCAAGTAAAGGAACAAATTGCCATTCAGGAAATTATTCTTGGGCTAAAATATGCAATCAACACTTAGCTTCCCACCTGCACAGCCCCAGAATGCACGTGGGGTAATGACATTTGACATGGGGCCTGTTACACTCCTGACCCAGGAGAAGGGTTTTCTTATTTTTAATTTGTAATGTCTGGCAAGATTCCCAAAGTAATTTTCAATTAAAGTTCCTGGTACTTGTCAAGCTCAAAGACATTGCCCAAAAGATGGAATAACTTCATCAGAGGGAGAGGCATTCACTTTGTCAAGTATTTCAGCGGACTGCGCAAATACTCTGCTTTTCCCTTGTCCACACTCTGACTCCACAGAACAAAGTCGTTTTCTGTCTCCTACCCTCTACATGGAAACAAACTTGGGGGAAAGGACTGTCTACTTCATAATCAGTGTCATCCCTGTTATTCTGAGGGGTGTCTGCGCTTTCTTCCCTATTTTAGCTGTATTTGTTCATTCCCTTAGCGGACTCGACTTCCCCAGATGGTTGAGAGGCAGGCATTTGCCCAAATTCAGCCCATCAGAGTCCTCCAAAATGATTCACACTGGATGTAAGAGAAAAGCTCTTTCTTCTCTGACCCGTTGCTGTTAATACTGGTTCAGAACTGCCGTGGAAGAAAATCCATGGAAGGAATCAAGCCAGTATGCAGGGCAGAATCTGGAGTAGAGAGCTCTGAGCATATTTGAGTCCTTGTTTTCAGCTGCCCAGTAAGTCGGCTGTCACCTTGCGCTTTTCACAGCAAGCCATGTGAACCCATACTCGTCTCTTATCTAGGTTTATGCAGATAGAATTTCTGTCATTGCCACAAGTACCCTGACTTCTGTAGTAAGCAATGCCAAAGTATGGATGTGTCAGAGTAAGACAGTTTAAATGTTAAAAACGTGTTGCAGATATTTTTTATGGTTTATGGATTCAGTCCGTAACAATGTGTCTTCTGTGGGCCAGACAACTGAGGTACAAAGAAAATATGGTTATAGACTCTAAGGGCTCACAGATTGGTAAGAAATACAGAAACATTAGTCCCATTGTTATAGCAAAGGTTAACAGAATCATATAAAATGCAATGAGTGATTAGCTGCACCTAGGGCATTCTGGAGGGCTTTGGGTAGGAGGCAGCATTTGCTGACTCTGAAAAGGAAAAAATAATTCCAATAGGTAGAAATGGTGTAAGTACGTTCCAGGTGTTCAGAGCATGTGCTAAGTATCAGAGGCCCAGACACGTGTGTCATTTCTTAGGAGCATCCAATATTCCAACGTGAATATCGCCAAGAGAGGAGAAACGTGCTAAGAGATGAACAAGAGAAGGTAGATTGAGACCGATGGTTGAGAACGTCAGGATAAAGAGCTAATGCATGCTGGGCTGAATACCTACCTAGGTGACGGGTTGACAGGTGCAGCAAACCACCATGGCCCACGTTTACCTATGAAACAAACCTGCACATCCTGCACGAGGACAATGGAACTCTAAAAAAGTTACAGCATCACCTCTTGTCAAGAAGCCACAACCAGGTCTGTGCTTGAGAATTTACGTTTTAAGAGTAGTCAAGCAAATGAATGAGTTATTAGAAATAAATGACAAAAAACAAGGTGGCCCATAAAGACACTCTTGTAATCCTATCCAGCACGGAGAAGGGCATCAAGTAGGGCTGTGGACGTGGGAATGAACGAGAAAGCACATTTGAAGAAAGATTTCAGAGGCGGAATCACTGGAGTGTGGCCATAATACAAAGTGCAGAGTGGCAGGGAGGGAACAGCTGAGAGAGCCTCTGAAATCCCAGCTCGAGTGGCTGAGCAGATAGGGAGGTCGAGAACCGGAAAGACAAACACAGGAGGGAAAACAAACCCCAGTGCAGAATTAGGAGTCAAGAAATTGGGGCTGATCTGAACTCTTCCATCAACCAAGGATCTAGCCTTGGATATATGGGGTAACTAAAGTTTTCTTTCTTTTTTTTAATTGCATTTTAGGTTTTGGGGCACATGTGAAGAACATGCAAGATAGTTGCATAGGTACACACGTGGCAGTGTGATTTGCTGCCTTCCTCCCCTTCACCTGTATCTGGCATTTCTCCCCATGCTATCTCTCCCCAACTCCCCACCCCCCGCTGTCCCTCCCCTATTCCCCCCAACAGACCCCAGTGTGTGATGCTCCCCTCCCTGTGTCCATGTGTTCTCATTGTTCAACACCCACCTATGAGTGAGAACATGCGGTGTTTGATTTTCTGTTCTTGCGTCAATTTGCTGAGAACTCAAGTTTTCTTAGCTGTCAATTGGAAGGCTAGAAAACTTCATCTCTACGTTCTTTTGTAACGAACTGTGTGTGGTTCAAAAGACAGTATGAGCAGGCCTGGTCTGACAAAGTACAAGAGTCAGAAGCACCAAGTCAAGCAGGGCATGACTGAAAGCCCTGAAATGAGCTGCTAACTCATGGGTGAAAGGTCCCATTGATCTTGCTGCACCCAGACGCCATACCCCAGAGTAAAAGGCAGGGGGTCTCGGAAGCGTGTGCTGTGTCTTCCCAGGAGCCCTCGTCACAGAACTTCACCTTTGTGTTCCTTATCCTTGGCGGTCTGTAAGGAATCCCCCTCCTCTGTAGATCTGATCCATGCCTAAGATGGTGATGCGGAGAGCTGGGCAAACAAGATCCTACTCGGTGCAACAACTGACGATCCGTGGAGGAAACGCAGAATTAAATCCACACCTGACGCCAAACACAAGACCAGTTCCAGATGAACCAAGGACCGGAATGAGAAAAGCAAGACTTACAGGATCAAATATACAAGAAGATCATTGTAACTAGGACAGAGATGGACTTCAACATTTTAGAAAACAGTTTCAGACTTACAGAGGGGTTGCAAAAATGGCACAAAGAGTTCCTTTACCTTCTTCACCCAGTTCCTTTCAATCTAACATCTGATTTGGTGTCATGGTATAATTAACGAAACTAAAAATTGGTATTGGTACGATACTATAACGAAAGGTTTTACTGCATTAAAGGATTTGAAGACATACAAAAAATCCCCTAAACATCAACACTGATAAATTCAACCACATTAAAACTAAGAACTTCCACCCAAAGGACACCACAAAGAAAAGTAAAGGAGAGGCAGGAAGGCCACTGGAGCCCGGGAGTTTGAGACCAGCCTAGGCAACACAGCAGGACTCTGTCTCTACAAAAAGTTATCTAAAAATGTGTGTGCGCGCACGTGTATTAGCCAGGGGGTGTGTGTGTGTGTGCACGCGCCCATGTGTATCTATTAGCCAGGGTGTGTGTGTATTAGCCAGGCATGGTGTCTTGCTCCTGTAGAGTGTGTATATGTGCACACATGTGTGCATGTGCACGCGCACATGTGTATGAATTAGCCAGGGTGTGTGTGCGTGTGTGTGTATTAGCATGGGTGTGTGTGCATGTGTGTGTATTAGCCAGGGTGTACGTGGGTGTGTGTGTATTAGCCAGGGTGTATGTGCGTGTGTGTGTATTAGCCAGGGTGTGTGTGCGTGTGTGTGTATTAGCCAGGCATGGTGTCTTGCTCTTGTAGAGTGTGTGTGTGTATTAGCCAGGGTGTGTGTGCGTGTGAGTATTAGCCAGGGTGTGTGTGTATTAGCCAGGGTGTGTGTGTGTGTATTAGCCAGGGTGTGGGTGTGTGTGTATTAGCCAGGGTGTATGTGGGTGTGTGTGTATTAGCCAGGGTGTATGTGCATGTGTGTGTATTAGCCAGGCATGGTGTCTTGCTCTTGTAGAGTGTGTGTGTGTATTAGCCAGGGTGTGTGTGCGTGTGTGTATTAGCCAGGGTGTGTGTGTATTAGCCAGGGTGTGTGTGTGTGTATTAGCCAGGGTGTGTGTGTGTATTAGCCAGGGTGTATGTGCGTGTATTAGCCAGGGTGTGTATGTGTGTGTATTAGCCAGGGTGTGTGTGCGCGCGTGTGTGTATTAGCCAGGGCGTGTGTGTGTGTGTATTAGCCAGGGTGTGTGTGCGCGTGTATTAGCCAGTGTGTGTGTGTGTGTGTGTATTAGCCAGGGTGTGTGTGCGCGTGTGTGTATTAGCCAGGGTGTGTGCGCGTGTGTGTGTGTATTAGCCAGGGTGTGTGTGTGTGTGTGTGTGTGTGTGTGTGTATTAGCCAGGCCTGCTGTCTTGCTCCTGTAGTCCTGTCTCCTCCAGATGCTAAGGCACCAGAATCACATGATCCCAAGAGTTCGAGCAGGCACTGCACTGTGATGGCACCACTGCACTCAAGCCTGAGCAACAGAATGAGATCCTGTCTCAAAAAAAAAAATGTTTTTAAGGTGAAAGAGAAAAAACAAATTGGATATGAATATTTGCAACACATATAAAAGAATGAAAGATTTGAATTAGAACAAAAGAAGGGTAAGAAAAGTTCCTACAAATTATTACGAGAAAGACAACCCGAAAGAAAAATAGGCAGAAGATATAAACAGGCGTTTCACAGAAATGGGGAAACATCAAAGACTGCTGAATAATGGCGGTCAGGGAAGTACGAATTAAGACCTGGAGACTAACAGCAGGAAGTTGTGGGGCAGATGTGTATCCGAATGCACAGCTGCTTCGAGTGTAAATCGATGCCATCCAATTATTAGAAGGATGCGGCAGGAGCAGCTAAAGTTGCCCAATTCCATGCCGGAGCCACGTCACTCAAAGCGAGGTCTGTGGGTTCACAGCATCGCTGTCCCTTCCAGGACTCCCCCAAAACGGACTGAACCTGAATCTGCATTTTCATGAGATCCCAGCTGGTCCACATACACACGAAAGTCTGAGCAGCCCTAGTCTAGAGAAATGCTTGCTCACATACAGCCGGAGATGTGCCAGAGGATGTTCGTGGCCCTGTTCCCAATGATTAAAAAGCAAAAAGAGCACAAATGCCCACTGAAGTAAATAGATGAATAAATTGTGTATAGTTACACAACGGAGTATCATCCAGCTCCGAAAATGAGTCAACTCCTCTTTAGTTCCATAAGGATGAACCTTAGCAATAAAATACCACTAGAAAATAAAAAGTCAGCCAGGAGGGATCACACACAGCACGCTACCATGTAGTACAGCCAGACACAAGCACAACAAAATAATGCATTGTGCCAGGCGCGGTGGCTCAAGCCTGTAACCCCAGCACTTTGGGAGGTCGAGGCGGGTGGATCATGAGGTCAAGTGATCAAGACCATCCTGGTCAACATGGTGAAACCCCGTTTCTACTAAAAATACAAAAATTAGCTGGGCATGGTGGCGCGTGCCTGTAATCCCAGCTACTCAGGAGGCTGAGGCAGGAGAATTGCCTGAACCCAGGGAGGCGGAGGTTGCGGTGAGCCGAGATCGCACCATTGCACTCCAGCCTGGGTAACAAGAGCGAAACTCCGCCTCAAAAAAAAAAAAAAAAAGAAATTCCAGCCTCCTAGGTTCCACCACACAGATTCAGACTGAATTGTCCTGGGATGCAGCTGTTATACTGGGAGCTTTAAAATCTTCCTCAAATGATTCTATTGTGCGGCACATTTTGTTATTATTTTTAAAACACCTTTCAAAAGCACCTACGTAGGGTTAGAGTTACCCAGGTCACAACACCTGAGGCAAAAATAAGAGCATGTGAGTCCCAGAAAGGGTAGGATACCACCTCAACAGATTGCCCAAGAAAACACGGAAACGCAGAACAGAACAGCAGGAGGTGTGCCAGCCCAGGCCAGGAGGACACAGTGCAGTCATCAGCGTGTCCCAGGACAAACAATAGCCCTTCCCTTTTGATCAATAGCTATTTCACAAGAGGATTTCTCAGCAGTGGCACTACTGACATTTTGGGCCAAGTGATTCTTTGCTGTGGGGGAGAACCCTGTGCACAGCCAGATGCTTCGAAGCACCCCTGGGCCCTTACCCACTGGACACCTGTAGCCTTCCCAGCTGTGACAACCCAAAATGTCTGCAGACATTGACAGATCTGTTGCCCAAGGAGCCATCCAACTGGATAATGATGCCATCTCCCCTTGCAGGCTGAGCTCATCTTTAGATGGGATTTTGTCTCGCAGCCCCTCACACTTTGGAGGCCAGGAGAACAGGAGGAGGGGATAAAAACCATAGCATCCCCCTAAACTAGAGAATCGCAATTACAATGAGCTTTCTCCTCTCTAGCTCCATCTCTCCTTGGGGGTTGGGTGAAATGGGGCTGGTTGATTGTGACAGGCTGGCCCAGGCCCTTCTCAGTAAGACCCAGGGGGTGGTTTGACCGCAGTTTTGGGGGGCTTACTTTTGATTGGGAGGTGGTAATGGCTCTGTGTCTCCTGGGGCCTCTGTGACCATTTCTACAGAAACAAGGAAAGTACATCTACATATCCTGTTACCACGGTAGTTTTTAAAGTGTGTTCAAGGGCCTTGCACCAGGCGTGCTTGAGCAGCGGCGTTGCACAAGTTAGCCTGATATATTAACCTGTCTGAGAAGGAGCCTGTATGCTTCTAATTGTTGTAAAATAAACACACGGCTCTGAATTTGGGGGTGGCTGGGCTTTGTCAGGACCCAAGCTGATCCTGCCCATGTTGCCCTCAGCTCTGAAAAATTAACAGAAGGCCTAAAATATGAAACTTTCCTTTCAGTAGAAAGAAACACAGTAAATTTGAACTTGAAGACGTTTCTCAAATTCCATAGCAAAACTATTTATTGCGTTGTCTGCGAAAAGTAGGGAAGCCGAGTCCCTTGGCCTCTGCCTGCTTCCACTTTCACATACGTGCCCAGATAAAGCAATTCCCATGGACAGGAAGGCCGTAGGCAATGGCAAATGTGAACAGAATTCAGAAGTGAGATGCACTGGCAAAGGGAGGGAGAAGTCAGCGCAAGCGGAGAGGCTGGGGTTGTGGGGACGACCGTGGTGAAGCTGAGCTGGGCCCTGGAGGGCCAGTGAGAGTCGGAAGGGATGAGGAGAGGAAAGGAGGCATTTTGGGGAAGGCTGGCAGAGCTTTGTTTGGAAACTTCTATTTTTCCAAAACTGTCCACTGCAGGTAGTTGAGTTTTTTTTTTCTTAATCTAAGATCCAATTAAGACGCACACATTGTGTCAGGTTCTCACAGGTCTTAACTCCCTTAATCTAGATCAGCCTTCCCATCTGGCAGGCTTTTTTTTGGTTTGTTTATTTTTGTTTTGAGACGGAGTTTCACTCTTGTTACCCAGGCTGGAGTGCAATGGCGCGATCTCGGCTCACCGCAACCTCCGCCTCCTGGGTTCAGGCAATTCTCCTGCCTCAGCCTCCTGAGTAGCTGGGATTACAGGCACGCGCCACCATGCCCAGCTAATTTTTTTTTTCTTTTTTTTAGTAGAGACGGGGTTTCACAATGTTGACCAGGATGGTCTCGATCTCTTGACCTCGTGATCCACCCGCCTTAGCCTCCCAAAGTGCTGGGATTACAGGCGTGAGCCACCGCGCCCAGCCCTCTGGCAGGCATTTTTAAGAGGAATTAAGTTTAACTGGAAGAAGTCTGGGCCCACTGGGTGAACAGGTTAAGAGATAGCAAGTGAACAGGTGGCTATTCAGATATGCTGGAGAACCTGCGGGGAGATTTGCAAGGCTCTAAATCCTAAGTGAGCATCCGCCTTGCAGAAGAGTTTCAGAACCCGTAAGACAAAAAGAATGCAGAAATCATCTGGTTTAACTCCCTGATTTCACAGAAGAGCTGCCTGAAATCCTTTCTGGATCAAGATGGGAAGTCAAGCAATCATTTTACAGATGAGAAAACTGAAGACAACACGACTTGCCTATTAGCACTTCCCTGAAAGGGGGCAGAGCCCGTGCTAAAATCTCTACATCTCCTTGGTCAGCTCTGCATCTCCCGACTCCCATCTAGGACTCTCTTCAGGCACCATGGGGGGAAAAAGGAGATGTGTCCCTGCCCCGGCTTCACAGCATGACCAAGATGGCAGATGGTGACTCAGAGGACACTCACTCCATTCAGGGCCAAGCTGGGTGAATTAACAGCTGAGGAGGCTGCTGCACCTGCCTGAAGGCTCCCATGAGGACAGAAGACTGCGCCAGAAACGCTTCTGAGGCGTCCCACGTACCAGGCCGCATGCACATGGCCTGCAGTTTCTGTTGGCAGGCTGCACTGCTCCAAATCTCACATAATTGACTTTGGACAGAGATTTATGTGGATTTTTTTTTTTCCTTGCCCAGAAAGGCAATCAGGTCCCAGAGAAAGAACTCCTCCAGTCAGCTGCAGATCATACAATCCTTATTGGCCTCAAAGAACAGAACATTTCTCAGAAATATCACTGGGGGCTCAGGCCACAGCAGTGTTATGAAGTAGCCTCTTCTGCTGTCTTTCATACCTTCTCCCTGTACAGATCCCTGCCACCGCCCGACACACCCAGAATTTCTTTTCTGCACCTGGCCTCTCCAAGGCAGCGTCAAAGCTACTAAACGATCTTTTGCTTTCTCCCATCTGATTCCCACTGGCTCCATTTTTTGCTCTCTCCAGACTGTTTTAGAGAGGGGTGCTGGGAACAAATCCAGATGTAAGTCAGTCACCGGAGGGTGATTTGTGTTCTTGAAGAAAACCTCAGAGGAGCAAGGTCTTTGAACCTAAAGGCACTAGAGAGTTGAGCCACACAGAGTCAGTGAAGCCCTCAGGTCCCGCGGATGTGCTCCCCTGGCTGCCACCAGGCTGAGAGGGCTCTCGGGTGGTCGGAGAGTCCTGCCCTACTTCCATCCCGTCACCTCTGCTTTTATCAAAGTTATGTAGCAAGGTTCCAACCACGATTTCTCTTCAGAGCATTTACTTTTCCAACAAAATTTTAAAAACCAGTGATCAATGCTATTATATGAATGAACCTGGAAGAAGCCACAACCAAAAGACCACTCATCACGATTCCATTTTTACAAAATGTCCAGGACAGGCAACTTCATCGACACAGAAAGTGGATGGGTGGTTAGCATGTGTCAGGGGGAATGGGGAATTCAGAGTGACTAGTAATGGATACAGAGGTGCTTTTCAAGTTCATGAAAATGTATTAGATTTGCAGTAGTGATAGTTGCAAAACCTTGAAAACATACTAAAGAACTATAAATTATATAGTTTAAGTGAGTGAATTATATAGTATGTGAATTACACCTCAATTTTTAAAAATCATTTTATTGTGGGATTAAAGAAAAAAAAAGTTAGTGACCTAATCCAATCCTGCCCCTTCTCAGCTCAGAAAACAGGTCTCAAGAACATGAGAAAGATGAAGAGACCTAAAGACATGCCCCTCTGAAAGGAACAAAGTCCAAAGCCATCTGGGCCACTAACCACACCTCCCAGGCTTCATGGGCAATTTTGAGTAGCAGGGAAAGTAGACGCCTGTGTCCCTGAAAGCACATGGAAGAACCAGCAGCTTGTACCGCCTCCATGGAGGGCCAGGCCTGAACAGGCAGAACAATGGCTCCACCCATGTCCCTCCTGCACGGTAGCTCCACCTGACAGAGGCAACGTGACTACAGCACACCCCGAGAATGAGCCTGTAGGACAGATACACCTCAATCTGGGTTCAGAGTTCCGGGCTAAGGAATGAAGGAGTGGCCAACCCAGAAATCTATTCCTCATCTCATCTATGAGACAGGGAGCCCCTGCCTGTCCCATCCCACGAAGCAAATGCCACAAGGGCATCAAGCCCTGTGTTTTCAGTTAAATGCAGGTTGCCAGGTGGAGGTTGTTAGGGAGAGGGTGCTGGGTGAAAATGCTACATGAACTGCAGGCCTTTTGCAAACAATTGTGGCCTTCCTGCCCAGCAGACGGCCACCAGACTCTGCCCCCATAAAACCCCATGTCTCATTTGCTGACGCTGGGTCTCTTCTTTGGCCTCTTGAGCCTGGTGCCTTCCCCACTGGAGCTGATAGGGTTTAGGCACAACACCTGCCTCCTGTAATCTTATGAAATACAAAGACGTTGCTGTAGTGGCTCCCAGACCCCCTGGATTAGAACAGACCATGCCCCCCACTTAAGTGACTGTACAGCTTTGTGCCCAGCTGGAGGAGCAGGAGGGGACTTTTGCTGCATTCACCAAGGCTCGGCCGGACTGCAGATCTCTCCCCCACTGTAAAGCTGCCCTCCTTCCCTAGGAAACCGGGTCGATAACAAGGCCTTTGGAAATCTGAAGTTAACAAACATATTGTTCCCAAGCAGGCATCAGTATTTTCATTACCATGAGGAGATGCTTCAAAAGGGCCGCAGTGACCACCTCTCAGGTAGAGATTAGTTATGTATGTTAGAAATGTCCTAGATACATACCTAAAAGATAAAGGGCTGGGACAGGAGAACTTTTATAGAACACTATAACTTGTCTCAAGATACACAAGTAACATTTTCAAAACAGAATCAAATAACCTCTCTTCCCCATCTTTCTGCCTTAATTTGTTTTAAGGCTGTGGCAGAAGAACTGAGGCAAAAGGAAAAGTCAGATAATCCAGATTCCACAAGTGAGCCTGAGGGTCTAGAGACGGTGCAGTGATGGGGTGGGGTGGGGGGGAAGGTACCTTGAACCCAGCCCTGCCAGCTCCTCTGGTCGCACGTGTGTGTCGTGGAGCTAACAGAGAAGCCTGGCCCCATAAATCAGCACTGAGGGAACGGAGGGTGTTGGGTCAGGCCAAGTCAGCACTGCCATGCAGCTCAACGTGCATGGCTTGGGGCCCCAGAGGCCCATGGAGAGTGGGAGGGCAGCCACGCTGGCCTGTCTTAGGCAGCAGAAACCAGGCTGCAGAGTGGAACCCAGAGGGACAGAAGCCAGCAGTGAGTGGCAGCCTTTACCGATTCCGGAGGGCAGGTAGGACGAAGCGCTCCCTGAACTACTGAGAACGAAGCTGCATCAAGATTAGGGATCTGCAGGACGTCGCCAGCAACTGGATTTTTCCCCAAGAAGCAAACGGGGGTGGGAATCAATAGGAAGTGAGCATTCATGCTGATGGAGCCTCATCCACATTCACAGCCCACCAGGACCTACTGACATTGAGGTTACCTGCCATCAACCCTTCACTCAGAGCTGAGGCAGGAGTCAAACGGGAGGAAAACAACATGGAAATTTCAGAAAGTCACTCAGGGAAGGCTTCAAGAAGACGTGATGCTTAAGCGGGTGTTGGAAAGATGGGAAGACATAGGCTGGGCGCGGAGGCTCACGCCTGTAATCCCAGCACTTTGGGAGGCTGAGGTGGGTGGATCACGAGGTCAAGAGATCGAGACCATCCTGGTCAACATGGTGAAACCCCATCTCTATTAAAAATACAAAAAATTAGCTGGGCATGGTGGCATGTGCCTGTAATCCCAGCTACTCAGGAGGCTGAGGCAGGAGAATTGCCTGAACCCAGGAGGCGGAGGTTACAGTGAGCCGAGATTGCGCCACTGCACTCCAGCCTGGGTAACAAGAGCGAAACTCCATCTCAAAAAAAAAAAAAAAAAAGATGAAAGACATGCTCAGCAAAGAAAAGTGTAGAAGAAAGGCCCAGAGTCGACAGATTCTGTGTGGGGAACAAGGAGGTGCTTCACGGTTGGGCAGAGAAACAGTCTGGGTTCCTGAATTGGTTGATGGTGGTGGGAAGAGACAGAGATAAACTTGACCTTCCCGTAGCCACCACCAGGACTACGTCTGAGAGGCTACGACAGGGAGTCACAGAAGTGGAAGCTTCTACTAAACTCTTACCTGAGGTCTGCAGAAACCTGAAGTGACGAACAATCCTCCATCCAAATCCACACAGTTTTAACCTAAATTCTAGACATCAGTGGAATGGAAGCATCTATTCACAATGGGGGATCTAATTAACATGCACTCATCTGAAGGAATTTCCCCTGAGGAAATGTGGATGTAGCTCAAAGTCCATAATTCAAAGGACACACCAAGCAATTAATTCTCGGGCAGGGCCCACATGTTCTAACTCCTGACAATCTGATTTTCCTGCAAATGTGAACAGGGAGGAGGGAAGAGGACTAGGGGCATTTTCAGGTATCTCCTGGTGTATTCTGAATAAAGGGTTTAGGCTCAGATTCAACTGGCAGCTTCCCACCGTAAACTGCGAAGCCTCTCTGTAGGAAGCACTCTTGTGACATGGAGTAAGCCACCTGGGCCCTCATTAGCTGAAGAAAAAGAGGACTCTTGTGAAATAAAACCCGTACCCCCATTTGGGGAGTTGGGGATGTGGAGAAAATCTCCGCTGGCTACCTTGGCTGTCATTTCCTTAGCGTCCGTTGTTAGTAATTTTGTGACAATTTTCACTCTGATATTTACAAGAGCCCCCAAATTCCCACGTAATTTACATGACACAATCACCTATGAAGTTCCAAAGAGAAAATGTTTCCTTCACCACTGGGGTAGACAGTCAAAAGAATGGAAGTCTCAGGTTCGAAAGAACTGCAGGGTTTTCCCAGGCTGAGAAAGATGGAGCATCCCCTTCTCATGATGGCCAGTGTCAAGGGTACGGCCAGGAAAACACCATCAGCTGAAGCTCAAGCCTCTTGAGGACAGGAAGTGGGTTCTGTCCACTGTAGCTAGACCCTCCAGTGCCTACCATGTGCCTGGCCCATCGGAGTTGCTCGACAGGTCGTCACTGGATTTATGAACCAAAAAAAGATTGTGCTGCAGTATCATTTTCAGATGCATATACCGTATGTCGGGCCACATATAAATAAAATACATGTGGTGTCTTTAATGAGTTGAGTGCGTCACAGACTTGGAGTATGCAAGTCGTGGCATGTGTCCCTCTGCCCAGGAAGGATGCAGATCGATTTCCTTCCATTTCAAAATGTCACCCTGAATGGCTGCTCGAACACGGAGTTAAAACATTTGCAGCCACAGAAATTTAGAACTCCAGGCACCTGTCTGAGGCATTAGCCAAGAAGCGACGGCTATCTGTAACATGCCAAGGATTCATTTGAGACACTGGCTCTCAGACAATTCGAGACATGGAAATGGGGTACTGTTAGGATCCCCAAACTCTACCCCTATCATCAGTTCAATCTGAACCATCTAGTAAGATAACCAGTGACCACCGGGCGCGGTGGCTCACGCCTGTAATCTCAGCACTCTGGGAGGCCGAGGCGGGCGGATCACAAGGTCAAGAGATCGAGGCCATCCTGGCCAACATGGTGAAACCCCGTCTCTACTAAAAATACAAAAATTAGCCGGGCGTGGTGGCCCGGGCCTGTAGTCCCAGCTACTTGGGAGGCTGAGGTGGAAGAATCACCTGAACCCAGGTGGCGGAGTTTGCAGTGGGTTGACATTGCGCCATTGCACTCCAGCCTGGTGACAGAGCAAGTCTCTATCTCAAAGAAAAAAAAAAAAAACATAGCCAGTGACCACATGCAGCTACTGGGCACTGGAAATGTTGCTGGTCCAGATGGAGACCTGCTGCATATTTAAGGACACGCCACATAACAAAGCCTTTGCGTGAAAAATGAACTTAAAATATCTAATAAATGTTTTATGTTGACTATATGCTGAAATTACAAAATTGTGGATATAGTAGGCTTAATGACTTTTTTTTTGAGACGGAGTTTCGCTCTTCTTACCCAGGCTGGAGTGCAATGGCGTGATCCCGGCTCACCGCAACCTCCGCCTCCTGGGTTCAGGCAATTCTCCTGCCTCAGCCTCCCGAGTAGCTGGGATTACAGGCACGCGCCACCATGCCCAGCTAATTTTTTGTATTTTTAGTAGAGATGGGGTTCCACCATGTTGACCAGGATGGTCTCGATCTCTTGACCTTGTGATCCACCCGCCTGGGCCTCCCAAAGTGCTGGGATTACAGGCGTGAGCCACCGCGCCTGTTTTACTTTTTAATGAGGAAGCTAGAAAACTTAAAATTTAAAATATGATTCACAACAGCCAAAAGGTAGAAGCAAAGCAAATGTCCACTGACGGATGGATAAACGGAGGTACACGGGCAGTACAGTAGGAGTCAGCCTTTCAAAGGAAATTCCGACACACGCTACGACGCGGACCAACCTTAGGCGTCACGCCAAGTGAAGGAAGCCAGTCCCAAAAGGACAAACACTGCAGGGTTTCACTCATGCGACGCCCCTACAGCCGTCAAATTCATGCAGACGGAAAATAAGCTGGTGTTTGCCAGACGCTGAAGGAAGCAAAGTTTTTGTTTAATGGGTACGTAGTTTCTGTCTGGAAAAAAAAGTTCTGGAGCTGGATGGCGGTGATGTTTGCAGAACCATGTACGTGTACTTACTGTGTACACTTACAGTTAGTTCCGATGGTAAACTTCATGTATATTTTATAATAAGTAAAATAAAAACACAAGTAAGAAGACTTTTAGTGAGTTCCAAAAATGAAGAAAAAAAATCTTCACTTTACAAAATTTGTGGTTTCCAAGTCAAAAATAGTACTTCATTGTCCTCAAGCTTCAACTCAATAATTTCTCAACATTAAAGGGAACTGCTCGCCAATTATGTAGCGCAGTGTTCTAGAACACTCCAAAGCCTGTGGCGGAGCCTGGGTTCCTGGGCATGGCTGGGTATGAGCTGACATGAGTGGACACCTCTAATTTGGGGCTGAGAAAGAACGGCAGCCGTTCGCAGGGTCCACTAGGAGAAAGGAGAGAGATGCGAACAAGGCATTTGTCACGTGGACCCATCCCTACCAAATCTCTCGGGACTCCAGAGAGAAGGCAGTTAGGGCAGAAGGAAAGATGGCTGGCTGTAGAGTAACTGGGTGAAAGAGCAACACTAAGGCTGCTTTGGGATGCAGGTGACAAACAGCACACAGCAGAGAGACATCTATTGTCCCTCCACTTAGGCACCCAAGCCCTGGGAGGGGTGGCTGTGGGAACAGAATCTACTCTGGGCCCAGAGGCTGGTGTTGCCACCGACTGTGGCAGGGGAGGGCAGAACATGGCAGGAGACACAGGGGACCACAGATGGCAGGCTGGTTCATGGCCACATAGGGGGCTTCTCTTGACAAAGTCACAGAAATATCTGGAGAGGTTTTACAGGGGACTGAAAAACTCAAATATGTGGGGGAATGAAACAGGAACTTCATTATTGACATTAATGTCACTCACTTTGTCCTCAGACTGGTGGTGCCCAGGAGAGGGATGGTATCACGTGTGCTCTGAAGGTGCCCTAGTTTTTCTCTAGAGGGAAAAGTAAATGCCAGAGAATAGTTTGGCAAAATTAAGTTTCTTGAGCAAACAGAAATCCAGAGGCAGGATGATTTAATTCAGTTTGAAAGTCCCATGATGAATAACAAGCAGGAAATCACTCTTCCGAGATTCTCCTGAGAAATGGCTCCAAAGCACGAGCCTAGGATGCATGCTTCCTAGGAAGAGAGTCACTGGGAAAAACAATGGAGAACTTTACCAATTTTTTTTTTTTTAAGACAGGGTCTCACTCTGTCTCCCAGGCTGGAGTGCAATAGCACAACCTCTGCTAACCGCAAACTCTGCCTCCCAGGTTCAAACAATCCCCCCACGGCAGCCTCCCAGGTAGCTGAGACTACAGGCATGCACCACCACACCCAGCTAGTATTTGTATTTTTAATGGAGACGGGATTTCACCATATTGGTCAGGCTGGTCTCAAACTCTTCACCTCAGTTGATCCACCTGCTTCAGCCTCCCAGGGTACTGGGATTGCTGTGGTGAGCCGCCATGCCCAGCTGGCAACTCTACATTTTCTAAAGTAGTTGCATGTGACCCTGCAAGCCTGATCATAGCCCCTAGGGTTAAACACGGTCATCCCATTTAGCACTAGGGAAGCTGATCCACGGGCCAACCTGCAGGGAAGCTGCAGCCCAACTTGAGAAATTTTCAAGAGCAACCGTATCACAAACAGCGCAAACAAAGAGCAAGCCATTCGGCCGGGGAGATACATATTCTAGGTCCCAAGATGCTGAAAGAGAAAAAAACTATTCCTCTCCCCATATTCTCCTCACTCCTGTCCAAGAGAAGGAGAGACAGATCTGCTCAAACCAGACTCCAGGACCCTGATTCACTCGTGTCCCGAGACCTCACCCCTGGGTCCCAAGGGCTTTTTTTTTTTTTTTTTTTTCTGAGATGGAGTTTTCGCTCTTGTTACCCAGGCTGGAGTGCAATGGCGTGATCTCAGCTCACCGCAACCTCCACCTCCTGGGTTCAGGCAATTCTCCTGCCTCAGCCTCCCGAGTAGCTGGGATTACAGGCACGCGCCACCACGCCCAGCTAATTTTTTGTATTTTTAGTAGAGTCGGGGTTTCACCATGTGGACCAGGATGGTCTCAATCTCTTGACCTCGCGATCCACCCGCCTCGGCCTCCCGAAGTGCTGGGATCCACCGCGCCCGGCCTCAAGGGCTTATACTTGACACAGCTCACCTTCTCTTGCTCCCAGGTAAAATGAACCAGGGCCTCTTCCCAGAGTGTGCAGATGTCCGTTTCATCTCTATTGTGCCTGCATCATTAGTACCTTTTTGACATCCACTCTATACTCCTAATAACTTACAAAGTCTATTCAAATTCTCCTGAATTATGAAAAGCAATGAAGTTTGACAGCTACTACTGTTTTTAGCTTCCATCCCCTTCGTGACCATTATTATAGTCTTTAAGTAAAGCTAAGCCCCAAATGGAATTTTCACTTCAGGAGCTAGTTCCACATGAAAGAGAATACCAAGATGAGAAGGGACGAAGACATTCTTTTCTTTCTGGAGAAGGATGAAAGCCAACACTTCTGTGTGTCATCGGCACACACTGGTGCCTATTAAGTTGTCCCTACAAACTCTTGAGGGGCCTCTGAATCACCAGAGCAAGCTGAGAATGTGTCTAGTCTACTTGTCTAGCACTAAGTGCATTTCCTTGTATTTGAATTCTTTGTGAGTTTGTGATCTGCCTGTGGGGATCTGGTTATTAATGCGACGCCCCCTCTATTCGCCCACTGAGCCACACACACTTTGATTCTGCCCCCGACTACCTGAGCTTTCACATCCAGCTCTGAAGTCCTCCCTGTGCCTGCCCTTGCTTGCCCCGACCGCAGGATCCAAGGGTGGATCCTCACAACATTCCTCTGCATGGAAATTAGATCAGAGCACAAGTAGTCTCTTGGGTCATTTTTATGTAAGCCAAAGCCCCTCGGGAAAAATTGGGACAATAGCCACAGCATTCGGGATTCTCAGCCCAGCTGCTGTAGACCGCCCCACTCCCAGAGGCCCATGTCTGCACTTCCCTGGGCTCACCCCAGGCTTGGGAAATGCTCACGATGACAATCACCCCTCACATAAGTCTGTTATTCTACATTTACCTTTTCTTCCTTTAACTGTTCGATTTGAAGTAGACTCCCAAAAAGCATCCTAAGGGTCCTTCTAAGAGGAAGCCATGAAGGTGAGAGTATCAGAGAGACCTGTAGATGCCACCTGCCTTTCAAAATGAAGAAAAGGACCACAAGGTAAGGAATGCTGGTGGCTGGTAGACACCGGAAATGGCATGGAACAGATCCCCCCAGAGCCTGCAGTAGGAATGCAGCACTTGATTTTAGCCGGTGTTTTGATGCTGGCCTGTTAGCCTTGTAACACCGGTTTTGGACTTGACCTCTAGACTGAAAGAAAACAAATTTGTGTTATTTTAAGGCAGCACGACCATGGTGATTTGTGACAGCAACAACGTAAAACTAATACATAGGTAATTAATGCTCCGGCCAAGTTGGAAATTCACATTATCAAGAATCTCTCAAAGAGGCTAGAAAGAGCTATAAACACAGGTGCCGGTGGAGAAAGGCCAACATGCGACTCTGATGGCGTTTTCTGGTCTTTCAACAGATGTCTTAATTCTTACTGTTCAGACGAACCAATATTCTCATCCTTCAGCAATGTTGTTTAACCAACAAAGACTGCTTTTCCTTCATGTTTTCTGCAGCCAACCAGAATGTAATTGTATTTCAAAGTTACACTTTCCACAACACACATATGCAGTCTTCGGCGCATTATAAACAGGGTGTAGTTATCGTTAACAGACCACGTGGCATATTCTGAAGCTAGACTGCCTGAAGTCAAATCCCAGCTCTGTCCCTTACTAGCTGACCTCGTACCTCAGTTCTCATCTAAAAAAAATGGGCAGAAGGGGACAGATCATACATGTCTGTTGACAGTAGTTGATGCTGGCAAAGCATGTATTCTTTACTTAGTTTTAGAAACAGAGTCTCACTCTGTCTCCCGGACTGGAGTGCAGTGGCAGAATCACACAGCTCACCGCAGCCTCAAATTCCTGGGATCAAGGCGTCCTCCCATCTCGGCCTCCCAGGTAGCTTCAATTACAGGCACAAGTCACTGCACCCAGCTTGGGAAAACATTTAAAACAGTTCCTGGGCAGAGTTAACATCATTATGAGTGTCTGTCAAAAACCGTTTTTGCAAGTGTACCAGTGGTATTACCTTGGCCAATGAGCACCCTGTGTATTAGCCGCTGCAGGTAAATCTTCCTACATGTAAATCGATCACGCTACATCCTTAGAGCTCTTAGGCTGCAGTAGTTAAAGATGGCAATCCCTGGAGAGAATCCAGTTCCCAAACATGGGTTACGTCCCTGTGGGCTGCATACACGTTGTTGGGCAAACATTTAAAATAAGAGATTTCACACAAAAGCCGATTTCTGCCGTTCCTTGAAAATTCAGACTTATCCACATGGGACTTACATTCCCTCAAAACCACCACCTCAGCTGGAACTGAACCGCCGACGCAGGGTCCTTTGGACTCTGCCTCCCCAACACTGAAGTGAGAATCTGTTGTGACACGTGAGCCCACGCACATTGTTATTTCTCTTAGACAAATTTCTCCAGAATGGAAAACAGTTTACAAGGTCCACTTTTGCAGAAACATGAGAATGCAATGTTCTTTGGAGACATGACATTTTTTCCCACACATTATATAAGAAAATTGTGTCCGATTAGAAAAAGTAGAGTCGGCCGGGCGCGGTGGCTCAAGCCTGTAGTCCCAGCACTTTGGGAGGCCGAGGCGGGTGGATCACGAGGTCAAGAGATCGAGACCATCCTGGTCAACATGGTGAAACCCAGTCTCTGCTAAAAATACAAAAAATTAGCTGGACATGGTGGCGCGTGCCTGTAATCCCAGCTACTCAGGAGGCTGAGGCAGGAGAATTGCCTGAACCCAGGAGGCGGAGGTTGCGGTGAGCCGAGATTGCGCCATTGCACTCCAGCCTGGGTAACAAGAGCGAAACTCCGTCTCAAAAAAAAAAAAAGAAAAAGTAGAGTCAAATACTAGGATTTCGGGCCCTTCACAACCTCATCCCTGTGGACCCCTCAGATTTACTTCCCACGACTTTTCCACACACACACACACACACACACACAGTCACACACACACACACTCTCTCTCTCTCTCTCTCTCTCTCTCTGTCTCTGTCTCTGTCTCTGTCTCTGTCTCTCTGTCTCCCCCGCCCCCCACCCCAGCAATTTTGGACTGTTTTTGGTAATATGACTCCATATCTTACTTTTCATTGTTGTCTTTTAAATAGAACGTCTAGCTACAAAAGAGAAATTTTTCAGCCTGGTGCTTAATCTTAAATCACTAGCATTCATCGGCATGATACATTCCAAAATTTTCATGGAAAGGTAACATTTGGTTTAATCATGTAGCCAAGCTCATTTTGATGATAAATCAAAGCTAGGTCATCAGGAACAACAACAAAAAAAAATTCTACAACCCTTCAAGCATAATCCATCCTGACTGGAGTATCGTAAAACACACACACGGGAAGTGCAAATAGAATCCCACATGCCACACAGCGATCGAATAAACTGACACGTACGATTAGGAATTGGAGAACATACGTGACAATATGTATTTTGAATAGTATTAACAACATGCTGACATTTCCTCCTGGAGGCTCAGACGGTGTGTATGTTACCAGAATCATCTTAGCCCAAACAAAATCGATCTTGGCTTAGGAAAGATCTTTACCTGGCTGAGGGTTGAGAGTAAATGGAGAGGATGCTGAAAAGAAATTCTGATTTAATGGAAATGTGTGGGAACATGATGATGACTATCAGTGGTATGCATATGTCAGACCCTTCAGGCAATAGAAGAGGCCCTGGATTGGGGATGGGAAGAGGAGGTCTACCCCGGCCCCTGAAAACCTAGCAAGATCATGGGAAAAGGACAGAAGGAAGTTTTGATAGGTCCCTGAAAGGCATGAGACTGGAAAACTGCCGCTATTCAAATTCACACATATGTTGATATACACGTGTCAGTTTTAGGTATTCCATTTTTTCAGATGAAGAAACCGACTCCCTGAGAGTTTAACTTTCCCAAGACCAAACCACTAATAAGAGCCCAGATATTTGATCTCTAGTAACTTTCTGACAGTTGCTTCCCACATTGCACTGCGTAAAAGGGGACATTTCAAAGCCTCAATACTCATGTTTTCATCTTAAAACGCTTTCAGTGTTAAAAGTCTACCATTCTTTTCTCTTTGGGTAATGAGTGATACAGAAACTCACAGCAGTCCATTCATAGTAATGACACAGCTCCCATATGCAAATAACTGTCACCATTTACTGAGCACCCGCTATGTACCAGGCACTATACATGTTTCTCTCATTTGATTGTCACTATAAAGGGTTATCGCGACTTTGTAGGAAGAGATCATGTTCAGAGATACAATAACCTGGTTTTGTTAAATAAGTGATGGAGCCAGGATTTTTCTGGTTTATCGGGAAAACTCTAAAATCTGTTCTTTTTGCAATGCTCAACTGCCTCTCCAAGTAACATAGCCTAATAATTTTGATTCTTCACGGACATTTCTAGGCCAGACGCTGGAACAGGTGGTTTCCTTAGGCTCTCAGATAGCCGTCGGCACCACACTCCAAGGTATGTATTACTGCACATTTATGTATACAGAACAGACCTTCTAAGAGGCTGACCTGCCAAAGTCTCTCTATTTCAATGAATCAGGGTACAAAGCCCAGGCTTCACTCTGAAAGGGCTCACAGCCTTTGGTGAACATTCTAAATGTCATGATCAGGCTGTCTAGACAAGTAGGTCTCAGACTCTCCTGCATTTACAATCAGCTGCACAGCTTTTGAAAATTCTATTGCCCATGCTGCTTCTGTACAGAATTTCGTTTACAATTATGAACAAGTTATAGAAATGATAATGGTGGCACATTACGACTGTTCTTATTGCCACTGAATTGTACACTTCAACACGGTTCAAGTGATAAAGTTTATATTTATTTTACCACACCCTAGTGTTAAAATTTCACTACCCCCCCACCCTTATCCCCAGAACCACTGGCACCCAGGTATCAGTATTTTTGAAAGCTCCCCTCTTGATTCCAATGTGTGTCCAGCCACGTTTGAGAACAGGTGGCTTCGAACAAGGCTCCTCTAATTTAAGTGTGCGTATGTGCATACGAATCACCTGGGGAATTGGTAACGCGTAGCAAAGACTCAATCTGCCTTATATTAGAACCATCTGAGACCATTTCCCCAGGCATTCTTCAGACTCTGCTTCCCCGAGATGCTAATTGTTCCATGTGACTTTAGAAAAAGTTAAGGATTCTATGGATAATTAAGATTGGAAGATACTGGGCTAAATTAAGCTAGGTGAGCCTTTTTTCAGACGTCCCAGCGTGCTACACGTATTGTGAGTTACTGAGCGGGAGATGGCTCGTGAGCAGCACTTCCCAGGCACACCTGACACGGGGAAGCTTTTCAGAGCACAGCAATGCTGAGGTGGGTGATGGCCGCCCTACAGCATTGCATGCGGGAGACACTGTCTCTCTACTGAACTGCCATGGGGATGCCCTGATACCAGCTTGTTTCCAGCAGACACAATTTGGAATATACATAGGGTGGAGGCAGAGATGGCATTGGGCCTCATATTGACAGACAACACAGAAGGCCAAAGAGAAAGCTGAGACACTTGCCTACGTCCTGGTGAGCACACCTCCTCCCAGACCACTCACTCATTTCACCTACTTTTAAGTCAGACTTTAAACGCGCCTTTTCTACTTGAGGGCCCTTGGCTTCCTAATCTGAACGAGGAGGAGGTTGGGAATTGCTCTGTAGGGTCCCATGGGAATGTCCAACACCAGCGCTCACAAAGGACCAAGATCACAATTGTGAAGTTCGAACACTTGGGTGTGAATGATCGCACAACATTGTGACTGTTCTTAGTGCTACTGAGTTATACACTTAAAAATGGTTAAAGTGATATAGTTTGTTATACTTACTTTACCATACCACAGTGTCAAAGATTCACTGCCCCACCCCCTTAGCCCAGTACCACTGACAATGACACCCAGGTATCAGTGTTTTCCTAAGTTCCTTACCTGATTGGGTGTGTTTAAGACTCATTCGAGCCGAGTAAACATCGATTTGAATTCACCTCCCATCCTCACAGACAACATTTTTGCACAGAGCTCTAAGATTCAGTGAGTAGGACTCAGTCTCTGACTTTCCCTTTGCCGCACTCCCAACCCCAAACCCAGTCCTGCTGAGCCTACTTGCAATCTGCATTTGAGCATTCCTGTACCGATTCTCAAGTCAGACTCACTCTGCCCAAAGTCCCCTTTCTGAAAAGCAAGTCTGACCAAGTCTCTCCTACACTCAAACCAACAAGCCCCAGGGCCCTCAAAGGAAAACCGACCACTTAGACCTGCCTACAGCGTCCGTCCCTGAACGGCAGCCTAAGCTCCACTTAGATTCTTGCAGGCTCCCCCACTTCCTGGACGAGGCTAAGCCCGCGTGGCCCATCCCCACTACCTTAGCCGGACAACTCAAACTAGCCTCTAGGTCGCAGCTCAGTTACCCTCCCTTCCAAGTCCCTCCTCACCCTTCACTCTCCACCTGCTGCCCAAGCCCCCATTAGGGACCAGCCCTGTGCTCCCCGCGACTCTGTGGTAGCAGTTACCACCCTGCATGACAGCCCCCAATTCCCAACTCTTTCTCCCACTAGATTCAGGGCAGGAACTGAATCTCATTCACAGTTGGAACCCCAGGGCCTGGCTCAGAACCCGAATCACAGAAGGCGCATGACATAGACTTGCTGGGTTGTTCAAATTCTGGGCCCCCAAGATCCCGAGGAAGGAGATAAAGGATCTCCTGATCCAAGGCAGGGTGGACATCCGTACTGAGGGCTCGCCCGTCAGCGTAAACCAGTGAGACGTATAAAGAAAAGGTGAAACAGCCGTACCCAGGGCCTGGAAAAACCAGCAAAGGACCTGCGTCCTAGTCACAGATTCAATCTGGACATCCCGCACGGCCGCTTCCTGCTCCAACACTCTCAGAGACAAAGCTGTCCAAATAACCAAGCCCATGCTGCTTCCACGTCTTAGTCCACACATACCACACACTGGGTCACGGATAAAGAACAGAAAGTAATTGCTCACCGTTCTGAAGGCTGGAAGGCCAACATCCAGGAACCAGCATTGGGCGTCCGCCGCAGGCCACATCCTCAAGCCACGGAAAAGCAAGCCGGCCCAACCCTACCAAAGCCTCCTTTATTCATGAGGGAGGAGCCCTCGTGGCCTAATCACCTTCTAAAGACCCCGCCTCCTCATACATCACATTGGCCACACCTGAATTTTAGAGGCAACAAGCCACAGCCACCTGTATGAGATCCCCACCCACCAGACTGGCCCTTACACCACTTTCAACATTTTGCCACGCTAGTCCAAGCAAAGAAAGGGCTGAGCCACCCTATACATTACCCAGCAGGGCCCTGCCTCTGCCTGCCTGGGCGATGCCTCCCCATCCCCTCAGCTCACTCTGCAAACGCCCCCGATTTCTCAGAGCCTTAGCTTCAGCGCTCCTTCCATGTGAGATCTTCCAGGTTCCTCCAATAGGAAGCAACAGCTCCTCCCTTGTCTGCCCTGAAACAGTGTCCCTTTCCAGCATGCCTTTGAGTTTTCTATGCATTTGTCCTCTTACCAGGCCCTCAGTGGGAAGACACTTCAGCTGCTTTACCGCACAGAACCTTGCTTCATGGCAAGCTCAGAGATGAATAGTAAATTCCCTAATTAATTAGGACAGGAAGCAACATAGTAGGAGCATAAACTGTGAGCGGGGGCAAATGACAACAGCCATAAGCCGCACCGCAGCCAAGCCTCTGTTCGTGCAGTCCATATGCCTTATGCACACCTTCACCTTTGCAAATACTGACCAGGCCAGTCTCACGAGTATCTCTAGGGTGGGCACGGCAAATTCTATTCCCCGCAGTTTGCAGGTTGGGAGTGAGTCTCCGGGAGGCCAATGGACTTGTTCAACCCGCCACGAGGAAGGCTGGGCCGGCAGTCAGGGCCACCACATCCAAGTCTGACCCTGTTTCATCACACATGTTGATAACACTCGAATCCACTCTCGCCTTTTCAATAAGAAACCTACAAGGAGTGTGAACGTGCACCCGCAGTTCCAGCTCCAGTCGAGCCTGGGGCACAGGGAGGCGGAACCCTCAGGGTGGGGTCTCGGCCCAGCCACGCTCCTGGCTCCACGAGCCGACTGAGCTTTATTCCCTGCCACTGGCGCTGCCAGCTCTGGCCCTGGGTCCGAGGAGCAACACTGCTGCGGCTGCCAGCTGGGAACTGCCGAGCACTGGGCAGGACCCACCCTCTGCCGCCTTTCCCGGGTGCCCACAACAGGCATTTATTTGCACTGCTGCCTCCACTTACCAAAAAAAAAAAAAGTCTGGTTTTGCTTAATTTTACTGCTGGAAATGCAGAAACACACTTTGCTTTTGCTTTCTCACCAAATTACATCAGCTGACTCCCGGGACCCCAGCATTTCCTGAGATGGGCAACCAGAGCAGCTGCCCGCTGTGTGCGGAGACGGGCTCCAGCTGCCCCCACAGGTCCGGCGAGTCCGCACTCAGTCCTGCGGTGCGGGAGCCCAGCTCCTTCTCAAGACAGCGGGCGACAACACTGCCCACCTGGGAACCCACAGGGCCCCTCTCTGCTGCGGACGATTGGTGGATTCTTCCCAGGGCCAGGACTAGGGGGAGTAAGTGAGGCACCCTCCTGTGTGTAAAATTGAAGGGGGCATTGAAAAATGCAGTCATCAAAAGACATACTATTTCAATGCGACAGCAAGAAAGCAACATTAATGCCAAAAAAAAATGACGCATCTAGGAGCAAACTTCCTCACAGTAAAAAGCCATGAGGAACAGAAGCAAGGTGAATGTAGAATCCAGGAGCCAATTTCATCTCAGGTAGTTTTGGAGCTAAATTATCTATGGCTGGGGACCAAAGGTAGGCAAATCAACAGACACCCCCACCTTCAGCAGTGCTGACCTTGCTTGTATCATACCTAGGGCTGAGCGGGCAAGAATGGAGGGAGCAGGAAGGAGACTCGGCTTAGAGAGGAGAGGTCATAAGCAAATCCTGGGTGGACATCACGTCAAAATATTGCTAGGGCACAAATTCAAAATATCCCTTTCATTCTTTGTTTGTTTTTGGTTTTGTATTTGAGATGGAGTCTTGCTGTGTTCCCAGGCTGCAGTGCCTTGGCAGGATCTGGGCCCTGCAACCCTCCACCTCTGGGGCCCAAGAGATTCTCATGCCTCAGCCTCGCAAGTAGCTCAAATCATCCCTTTCATTCTGATGAGAGAACTCTGCCTTACTTTTTTTTTTTTTTGAAATGGAGTCTCGCCCAGGGTGGAGTGCATTGTCAGGATCTCAGCTCACTGCAACCGCCGCCTCCCAGGTTCAAGCAATTCTCCTGCCTCAGCCTCCTAAGTAGCTGGGATTACAGGCACATGCCACTACACCTGGCTAATTTTTATATTTTTAGTAGAGACGGGGTTTTACCATGTTGGTCAGGCTGCTCTCAAACTCCTGACCTCGTGATCCACTCTCCTTGGCCTCCCGAAGGGCTGGGATTACAGGAATGAGCCCCGGCGCCTGGCTCTCTGCCTTATTCTCCAAGCTCATGGCAGTTGTCTGTGGTAGCAATCAGAGGGTTAATTGAATATAATGAAGAAACAGAAGAGGAGACGGCAGTTAATTAACTTAGCGGAAAATATTCCCAGGGTTTTGATTTACTTCACAGGAAGAAGCAAAATATTGGACATCTTTTATTTCACTCTTGCCTAGAGTATAAATGTGAGAAACTTGCAGATTCCAAAAAGGTTGCTATAATCCCTAACCATCTCCGGGTGATGTTTTCATTACATAGGATAAAAGGTTGTGTTTAAAATGCAAACACACCCTCGGTAATCCTCTCGAGAATCTACTCTGAAGCCACTAGATCTTACCATTTTGGTTCCCGGACTTCTGAAGACTGCAAAGGAAAGAACTGATTTTTTTTTTTAATTGGAAAAGTTTTTGAACCAACCTGCGTCCATGATGGGCACGGAGATGTTTGCTGTGCTGCTGACATCTACTGAGAGGCTGGGAAATAGCATTTCAGGAAGTAAAGGAAGTTAAAGCCGCTCTTGAGAAAGCTCTGTCTCTGACGGGGGATGCCATCTGTAACACATCATCCACCTTTGAGCAAGCACTCATCAATTTCCACAGAGCGTCAGGATCCTGTCATGTTCACCCAGGCAGCTTGGAAAAGGGAATGGGGCTGCAGCCTTTGTGGGGACAGCAGTCTGCCTCCTAGCACTCTCTGCAAAGGGAGGAGAAGCGCTTCTTAGAGCTGGATACCAATTGTCACACTCTGTCTGCTCAGCACCTTTCCAGCTTTGTATTAGTAACTCGTTATACAGACGCAAAAACTCAAATCCACACATGTCCCATGGCTTACCGAAAGCTACACAGCTAGAAAGTGGCAGGACAGGAATGGGACACAGAGCAAGCTGTCTCCGTGCTTGTGCCCTGTCCCCACTTTCTGTCCCCAAGGGCGCAACACTGTAGATCCGAACCACAACCCCCAAAAGCCTCTAGGAAATGTATAGGCTCCACTTCACTCCCAGGAGATTCCTATGGATTTAGGGAAAAAATGACGCAGTGACAGAGGAGTTTGAACTCTGGGGGTGAAATCATTTCCTCCAAATTATTCTTCTTCCAATGACAAAGATACACCATGAAAAACAGACCTATGCCCTCTAACCTTTGAGAAGATCTGAGTCACGTGGCAATTAGATTTGTACCCTTACAGGGTTACGGAGGCCAGTTTTCCCTTCCTCCTCATTTCCTTCTCCCCCATGACATTTTTAGAAAGTCACATTCATTTATTTTACCATTAGCTAGAAGCCTTAACCCTGGCCTTCAGGGCAGAGCCCGCCTCACTCTTCTGTAGATTACTTCGTTCCTCTGCAGGTGGACTCCAAGTAATCATGTCTTCTTTGCACACGTAGAGGCACCCGTTTGCGTGCATTCAAGGCTGCCCACCTCAACAGAAAACTGCTTTGACGTCTATCAGGTCTGCAGGCAGTTTTTCAATGTGAGAACTGCTAACATAAAAGGGATATGAGCCAAGTTTTGAAACAAGTTATTATTTCACATAAAGTGGTTATCAAAATAGATAAGAAAAATTAAGTAAAGAAAATAAGAATAACTGCATTAAAAATCCGGGTATTGGGGGATGGTTCTGCTGGTAGGTCAGCCAGGGGAATGAGAAGGAGCTAGGGGCGAGAGTACTTTCCTCTCTAAGTTGGTCTGGTAAGTTTTGTCTTCTTTTAGAAAGCTGGGTTCCAGATGGGTAGACAGAGGGCTCATTAAGTCGTTATTTTCCAGTTATTGGTTTCAGCTATTTTTTGGACCTGATAATGCAGGTACATGGTATAAATTTCATAAGATACAAAAGACTGTACAGTAAAAAGCAAGTCCCGCTCCGACCCTGGACCCTAGCCATCGGGCTCCTCTTCCCTGATGCAAGCCTGCCAGCTTCTGTATATCTTCCCGTAAATATTCAATATATACACAGTTACAAATGTTCTTTTTGACTTTAACCACATAGCCGTATACCATGCACCCTGTTCTACACCTTGTTCATTTCTCTTCACCACATATCTTGGAGATTCTTTGTCAACAAGTAGGATTTAAACAAGTTGGGCAAGCCCACCATGGCCCCAAGAGCACCCTGTAACTTCCTAAGAAGCCTTTATGAGTTGTTGCCAAAATGAATGTCCATCCTGGGGATCACGAGATCTTTTCTCTTTTGAGGCACCACTAAACTATGACCAAGAATCCTCTGGGATTATTTTCATCCAGAGTTTCTACCTTAATTTATTCAATTGGATCATACATTTCTCTTATACTATGTGCATTTCTATTTAATTTTCTTCTTCAGAGAACTTAAGAAGAGAGCATCTGAGAATCAAGAACTCAGTAATGAAGTTTAATTCAAAGTAGACTTGTATTACACACACACACGTACACACACATACACACACACAGATACACATACATACACACACATACACAGATACACACATACATACACATACACACAGATACACATACACACACAGATACACACATATGCACACACATACACACACATACATACACATACACACACAGATACACATACACACACAGATACATACGCGCACACACACGCACGCACACACATACACATACACACAGATACACACACACACAGATATACATACACACAGATACACACATACGCACACACACACATGCAAACACACACAGATACACACATATGCACACACATACACACACAGATATACATACACACATACGCACACACACATACACACACAGATACACATACACACACAGATACATACGCACACACACACACATACACATACACACACAGATACACATACATACACACACATACACACACAGATATACATACATACACACACAGATACACACGCACACACACACAAACACACACACAGATACACACATATGCACACACACATACACACAGATATACATACACACAGATACACACATATGCACACACACACATACACACGCACACACACACATACACACACAGATACACACATACGCACACACACACACACGCACACACACACACACACACACACAGGACCACAGGGTTCTCTTGCAATGAAGCAGCTGCAGTGGAGAGAAGACTGGAAAGAGGTGGCTTCAGGGGCTGGTCTGCAGACGTCAGCACTTGACTCTGCCCCCAGGGTTCTCAGCGTCCTGGTCTTGGCTCTTCTCCTCTCATCTAGGGAGTCTGCATTAGGAAGTTTTACTGACACTGTTAATTTATATGAAAAAGAAAAAATATGTGTAAATGCAACCAGCATTTCTGACCAGGGATGATCAGATTCTCTATTCTGGTCTCAGCTGATTTGTAAGTGGAGACATTCAACTCCGGTCCCATAATCTAGTCTAGTTAATCATAACTAGTGCTGTGACCTTAGCCGGGTGCAAGAATTTCCAAGTCTGAAATGCTGGTGACTGTCACAGCCCCTTGCCTCAACGTCACTACACATTCTCATCCCACATTTTTCCAAACCAGCCTAATTCACATGAACTTTACACGTTTCGCTCTCATCGGCAGGTGCTTTTCCTAGAGCGACTAACAGTGACAGTCGATACCGCTCTGCGTATGACCAGAGTGCTGGTGCCCATTTGCAAGCAGGCCCGGCTGAGTCTGTGGAGCTGCTTGCACGGGGCCGGGCACAGTGGCTCAGCCTGTCATCTCAGCACTTTAGGAAGCCAAGGCAGGCAGATCACTTGAGTCCAGGAGTTCGAGACCAGCCTGGGCAAGATGATGAAACCACAAAAAATACACAAATTAGCCACACATGGTCATGGGCCCCTATAGTCCCAGCTACTCAGGAGGCTGAACTGGGGTGATCATTCGAGCCCAAGTAGCGGAGTGAGCTGACACTGTGCCACTGTACTCCAGCCTCAGCAACAGAGTAAGACCCTGCCTCAAAAGAAAAGAAAAGAAAGTTCCGTATAAGCCAGCCTATTTGAGAATGGGTCTCAGCTCTTATGTCCACTCAGATACAGTAAAGGTTGAAGGCCCCTTCAAAACACAGCTCAGCCCTCTACTCGCAGAGCACCCAGTTGCTCTGGGCCCAGGAACACGGAAGGGAGGAGGTCAATCCTGACATCTGTTCTTTGAACCTGTCAAAATGTTCCTGCCACAGTAGCCCCAGATATGCTGGCTGGAGAGATTTGATGTGGGCAGCAAACCTGCCTAGTGGTCCCCCGGGTTAAGTGCACAAAGTGTTTCCACAAAACACAGTCAAATGCCCTTGGAAGGATGTCAGAATACATTGCTGGACCCCCAAAATACTTCCCCAAAGATGCTCCCAAGGATAGTTTCGGACTGGCCTTGTGTTCCATGAAGACCAGGGCAGCTGAGATTAATATCAACATTTCACATGGTCTAATAACAAAATGCTCCACAAAAAATGTTGTCTATCAAAAAGTACATGAAACAAAGACTTTCCAATATTAAGACCAGATGTCGGGACACTGAAGACAGCATTTCTTTCTGGCCTACTCGGTGAGATAGAGGAAAATGCATGCGGTATCAGATGAACAAGCTGTCCCTGAATGTTGCCCCCAAATATTGACCAGAAACAAGCAATCTGGGCTTAAAGATAGAATCCAAAAAGGAGGTTTGTTTCAGTTCTTGGCAGGAACTCCTCTAAGCACTAAGCTTAATAAATAAACAAAGTCACCGCTCACTGTCCGATCTTCAAAATGTCAAGTGCTAACGGAGGGCAAATCGTTCGCCGTCTCTCAAGGACCCATCAATTTAAATATAATTACTCCCCTGGTGACAACTAAAGGGGTTACGGAGAACGAAAGCAGGACAGTTCCCCAGAGGAACGTCTCTGTCTCCCTTAAAAGAGGATTCCATTAAAAGAGGCTGGCCCCAAGCGTAGGGGTTTGGGCTCTTTTCGGGGAGTTGACTGCCTCCCTGCAAGCTTCAAGGAGGAAAGAGCGGAGGTGGGGCCCGAGGGGCAGGGAGGGCCCCCACAAATGCCTCATTAATGCGGGGCAAAGCAGCACAGCCCACAGAATGTGCTTCTCACAGAGGAGCCCGGCGCTCACTGACAGAATGTTCAGGACCCCACCGTCGCACCAGGAAGCCTGGCCAGCTCGGGGATCACAATGAAAGGCACTCCGGTGGAGGAGCTCGGAGCCCCGCGTTTCAAATTTCCGGGCTATTGTCAATTTCTCTAGCAAGCTCCACATTATCTACACTTAAGAGACTTTTAATTTCCTTTGTCAGTAACAAAAATCTGTCCGAGGTGGTTATAAAACGTCTATTGATTTACCTCTGGGACCAGGGCTGAGGGCAGCGGAATGGACCATGGGTTAGGGAGGAAGAAAGGGAGGAGAAGAACTTGTTTCCTTTTGCTTGAATGTCTTCAGCCCCCTGGGTCCCGTCCTCCCTGGCTCTGGCTGATCTCAGGAACAGAGCTGTCAGACACGGCGCACCTGCTCACCTTAGCTCCCCAGGCCGCTTCAGCGTTTGCCGGGGCTGACTGCAGTGCAAACAGTGAGGGAGGCATCTGCTCCTGGGAGGAAATTCTGGAGAGGCTGGCCGGGCAGTGAATTTCTCCAGCAAACTGACCCTCACCTGGAGCTGGGCTCATCGAACTACCATCCCCGGGCCGGATCCGGCCTACCGTGTGTTTTTGTAAAGAAAGTTTTATTTATTTCAGGTACCGGGGAACATTTCATGCAAGTTAAGGGCACTGAGCTGGCTCTGAGAGGTGGGCGGGAGCAGTATAATCAGAAAAGCCAGTGTTTTGGGTAAGGGTATCATCAGGGAGAACAGAGAGACAAATCCCCAAGGCTTTTGAGGAGGCCTCCAAGGAACTGAGAAGCAACAGGAAAGAACAATAATAATAGCTACCACTTATTCGGGGCTGTATTCATTCATTCTATCCTTACAACTCAGTAAGGTACGTTTATTATTATCCCCATTTTACTGATGAAGAGAGTGGAGCACAGAGAGTTTAAGTATCTTGTCAAAGGTCACACAGCAGTTAAGTAGCAGGGCTGAGAGTCTCGCTTGGTGAGCCTGACGCTGGAGCTCACACGCTAATCACTGTGATGAGGCTGCAGAGAAGGGCTGGAGCGCGAGGTGGGTTTTTTTCTTGAGAGTTGGCAAGAGCAGTATTTTGGGAAAAGCAGCCGGCAACGAAGAGAAATTTCCCATCAAGGCGACAGAGACGAGACCACTGCAGTTAATCGTGTTGTGGGTGACAGGAGACTGAACCAACATGGTGGCAGTGGGGACAGGAAGGAAAGGCAAGACCAGCCAAGACTGAGACCTCCTCACCGGGAAGCAATTATGGAATGCTTCCCTCCATACCACTCTGCCCACCCCTCCGTCGTGTGATTGTCATGGATTCTTTGAGCTTTTCTCCTCTTTAGGCTGAGTCGCTGAGGTTTCTCCATGACTTTTATTCATTGTTCTACCCTTAGCCCAAGCCTGATACCTCGATGCACGACTGGCATCCAATAGACTTGATAACTGACTCCAATGCTGCTAGCCAGGAACTCTAGGAAGCCTGGCGGGAGGCCTGCTTGAATGGATGCCCACTGAGGAAGCCATCTTGAGGGGAGAGAGAGGATGGAGGACGCTGCCTTGGGCACACTGAGGGGCCTTTGGACCTGAGAGTGGAGATGTCCTGTCAGCGGCTGGGAATGCGGTCTGATACACAGGAAAGGGTCATGGCTGCAGAGGTCGACTCGTACATCAACCACAAAGAGGTGCTAGTGAAACCATGAGAATAGACGAGCTCCTAGGGAGGGAAACGGCAGAGGGAAGGGGCCGGGGCTGAAAGAAGCCCATTGTTGGAGAGTGAGAGGAAGGCGAGGAGCCCGTGGAGGAGCTGCCCAGAAGGTAAGAGGAGAAGCGCAAGGTCAGGTTATGGGGCACCCCTTTCTTTGGGAGCTGACAGACACACTTATCAGCTGGTAAAGGAACTCTCACAGTCAGCAGGGCCCCAGCCTCCCCACCCTGAGATCTTTCTGCAGAGAAGTATCCCTTAGGGAATATCAGAAGCCAAGCTGCAGGTGAACTCAGGGGGCCTAGGTGTAACTCCTGGAGGTGGGCATGGTCTCCCGCCTGAGACTGTCTGCCAGCCCCCCATCCACCCCGCTTTCCTTTACCTTCAGCCCTGGCTCCAGTCAAAGCAGGCTGCACGCCCCCACCAAAAGGAGCAAGGGCAGCCCTATCGCCTGGTCACGCCTCAGTGTCACTGATGGCTCTGCAAGAAGGCTTGGGACTGTGTTCGAGGACAAGCCACAAGTGCGGCACATTTTGTAATGGATCGTGCCAAAGGAGGTTGCATGCCGTGGGTTGTCAGTGCTTTCCTGGGGTTGATTTATTGACTGACTGGTCAACATGGCCACAGCAAAACTCAGGCAGAGCAGCAGTAATCACCCACTGAGGCTGGATCAGCGGGATACCTGCAGTTCAGCTTTTCACCACATCTACTGAAGGGGGAAGGCAAGCGCTGGGCCTGAGACAGAACTGGGCCTTCAGTGTGTTGTGCTCAGTGCTAGGAGTCAAAGGACAATAGACAGCTAGACAAGAGCTTGCAGAGCTGACCCTCCAGAGGCAAAGACAAAACCGCACAAGCCAGCGTGCAGTGTGGCAGGAGACGCAGGGAGGCAGTCCTGGAGAGCCAGGTAGAAGAGAGGAGCCATCCATGCCATTTGAGCCGCCTCTGAGAGGGTGTAGAGACGTTTGGCAGAGGTGGGACCAGGGTTCCCAGACAGTGGGGCGGCATGGAGAGCAGACTGGGATGACCGAGGGGAGGCGGGCGGGACGCAGGTCTCGGGGACAGAGGGCTGGCTGCTTCCTGGCTGAGAAAGGCCTTGAATGTCAAAGAGACAAGGCGTTGGATGGGCTAGAGGTTGAACACCAGAAATGGCAAGCTCCAAGCCAGGAAAGAAGGGCCTGTGCCCCACAGAAGCTGCATGGAACCAGAGAACACGAGACGGAGTTCAGATCCCAGCTCTGCAGCTGACAAACCGTGACATCTGGGCATGCTGTTCAGCCTCAGTTTCCTCATCTATACAATCAGGATAAATACAATACCGGTTTCAAAGCCGGATGAAGAGAACTAAGCGAGATCGTACATATTGAGTGCTTAGCACGGTGCTTCTCACATACTGCAAGGTCAATCAGTGTTATCTGAATTCCCGAAACTACTTTTCGGTAGGAACATTAGGGAGATGGAGCGTCCCTAGGAACTGGCCCCACTGAGTCTGACCCCAGCCTGACTGAGAACCCTCACGAACAACCGGCAGGACAAAACGAATTCTCTCTCTGCTGGGTGTGCGCAGTTGCAGGCACGGACTTGGTTAAGGGGGTAGATGAGCTGAAGGACCAGAGCGTACAAGCGTAGTGGGGACTATGACAGAGAGAGCTCAGTGGACAGCAGGGAGAAGGAACCCAGACTTTGGGTTGGGTGCCCGCAGCCAGGAAAACAGAAAAAACCAACGAGCAAGAAACCCCTGCTGGAGAGCCGTTTGCTGCTCTCTCCGCTGCCAAACCAGAGGCCTCGCGAGGGCAGGAACAGGCTCCGTCTCGCCAGGGTTGTATCTCCGAGGCTCTGCCCCCAGGAAGAAGGAGCTCCAGGAACCTTCACGAGTCCTCTCTGGTGTATTTCACCGCCATCTTGTGGCCTTTCCGGCTCTGGCTGCTACTCATAGGCAAAGCCTCCTTCCCTGTCACACACTCCAGCCTCAGGCAGCCTCCCACTATGGCATCAAGTCAAGGTCCGGGGTTCCACACTCTTGCCTAACGTGTCCGTACGTGGAAACACAAAGGAAAACGGTGAGGCGTTATCACGCTCGGTCACTTCCACGCCAACGTTGTTAATCACATTAAATAACAAGAACTAACATTTCCTCTACCCCCCGACAGGTACTGAGCACTCTACTGAGCACTGTACGTGGATCTCGTTATTTGATCTGCACAAAATCTATTTTACAGGTAAGGAGTCGACGGAGAGAAAGACGAGCAACCTGCCCGGTATCATTTAGCCAGTAAATACCAGATGGGGGTTAAGTGATCTGGGAGCCTCTGCTCTCCCGGGGTCGGGAGTCTTGGGCCCATGCAGGTCAGTGAGGACCGCAGCTGGGACAGGCAGGCGGGGCCCTGAGTGGGCTCTGAGTGGGCAGCTTTTGGTGCAGCTGTGCGTCACCCAGGAGGACGGCAGGGAAAACAGGCACGGCAAGTCACGACTTCACAGCCTCCCTGCAAACTGCTCCCTGCCAGTTTTGCTCTAGAGGTTGCATTGCCAGGAGGGGACCCAGGGACAGTGGGAGTCAAACGGGGGGACTTGCAAGTCCATCTGCTCTCAGTGGAGCCGTTTTCAGTGTTGGAGAAACGCAGGGCTCATATGGAAAATGCTAAATGCCCAAGGACAACTGGCAAGGTTTAGAAAACCGCTTTTGGCCTTCAGCGGCTGAGTTTTAAAAGTAGAAAGTAAAATACACGCTGGCCACAGAGGAACTCGGAGCACCCAGGCCGAGATGACAAAAATGCACCGTTCGCAAAACTCCACTTCTGTCTTATTCTAACCTGCATTTGTTTCCTTCTTTCCCCTCCAGTTGTGAGGAAGGGAACGCATGTGAAAAAGGTAGAAGGGAACAAGTCTGAAAATTGTTGAATAAAGTTACCCATTCCATCCCTACTCCTGTGACGACGGGACAACGATGACCGAAAGGCTGGGTCCGGGGGGAGTAGCTATGACTGTGGCAATTAATACGACTTCCCAGCTAAGAGGTTTTCAAAATTTCCTATGGGAAAGAAAATGGCTCCGAGCTATTGATGCTTTTCCTTTTCTTTAAGACGAGTGTATATTTCAGGTTTCAACTTTAGCACTGAAAACCCTGCGGAGTCAGCTCTTGGAATACATTCTGCATTTCCCTCTGCTTGTGAGACCGCCCCCCTTGCACCCCGCCTCCCTGCACTTCACATATAATTCCCAATGTTATAGGAAATGACATCAATACGGAGGTGAGCAGACATATGCTTTCAATATGTCATTGATCCATGCTACATTTGGGGAGCATTTAGCAACAACAGTAATATTGGAACCTTGAATCCTGGAGAAATTTAAACTCTGGAAATCTCGCGAGTCAGGATCACTACGCCACAGAGTCACATCCTCCACAAACTGACCTTCGGAACGCAGCGCGGAGGTTTGCGGGTCAAAAAGGAGGGTGGAGGACACGAATGTGAGCGTTTCCCACTCACACGCAAAGAAAAGGTTCAAGGAAGTACAGATGTGAATCTCTGCTATAAAAAGCCCAGAGTTCCCTCTTACCACTGCCACTCTTAGAAAATTAAATGCTTTTTTTTTTTTTTTCTTTTTGAGACGGAGTTTCGCTCTTGTTACCCAGGCTGGAGTGCAATGGCGCGATCTCGGCTCACCGCAACCTCCGCCTCCTGGGTTCAGGCAATTCTCCTGCCTCAGCCTCCGGAGTAGCTGGGATTACAGGCACGCGCCACCATGCCCAGCTAATTTTTTGTATTTTTAGTAGAGACGGGGTTTCACCATGTTAACCAGGATGGTCTCGATCTCGTGACCTCATGATCTACCCACCTCGGCCTCCCAAAGTGCTGGGATTACAGGCATGAGCCTCCGCGCCCGGCCTAAATGCTTTTTTCTTTTTATTCTGCTTGGACTTGACAGTGGAGAAGAAGAGAATCTGAGTGAAAAATGTCTCAGTTTACACTCGCTTAGTAACTCAAAAGACTCACAGACAGTAACAGAGAGACCCTTAGATTATTTTAGTATTTCCAAAATGCCAAAAGAAATTGCACATACATTTATTTTCCTTTGTTTTAGCTGGAATTAAGTCAACTCTGTGACTAGACGTGCATTGTCGAGGGGAGCTCGTGCTGAATACATCTTTGGATTAATAATAAACCAGCGACTATCAAGTAAATGAAGTTTGTTTCTCAAGAAAATCTTGCAGATTATAGGGTCTCTGGGGGGAGAATGAGTAACAGAGCCACTCCTGGTGAAAAGATGACCGGCGGGGCCAGCCCTCCACTGTGAAGGACTTTTCACTCCTTTCAGATGAACTTTAGTCTTAATGGCGTCCATTTTTGGCTTCTGAAAACTTGCCCAAAGATTGTGTATAACGCAGCTTGTTGTTTTACAATCTGGATGCTGGAGAGAACCGGAGAAGTAGATTTGGAAGTAAAAGATATTTAATTGAATTGGCTTTTGTTTTGACAGATGTTTTATACAGTACTTTGTCTGTTAAGAACAAGATGTTCCAATAAATATTTGATAAGTGGGAGAGAAAATTTACTACGAGGCCATAAATCAATTGGCAAGAGGTCGTAAACTGCAAGATTGGTGCTCAAAGCATTTATTAGATTATCAGAATTTCAGTGTGATCTGCAGCGTTACCTACCTTCCCTTATCCATCATTTTTATGGGACATGAAAAAGAGTTATAAGGGATAAATTGCATTGAGAAAAATTAAAATATAGGCTTCAGACAAAGCAGTTTGCCAGGATATGGAACAAAATTAAGTGATGAACCAGGGAAAGAGATCCAAAATTGACATATTTTTGTTGCTTCATAAGAGTTAAGTATCAGTTTAGTAGACAATAAACTACAAAGATAGATAAATTACGGAAGTTTTAAGACACAGAGGGGTCCCAGAAATTGTTTCATCTGATCCCCGTTATTGTACTAACTAAGAAACCAAAGTCTGCAAGGCTAAGGGCTTTCTACAGTCTGTTAAGGGCATCGGTGACCCTATTTCTGATCAAGATAATGCCGAAGATAAAGCTTTGTGATTTTTCTTTTCTTTTCTTTTTGGAGGGAATATGTTTTTGTTAACAGAGAGGCATATAATATAAGCGATATATAACTAGGACTATACCATAAGGCATAAGACTCTTACATGCCTTGAGGACAGGAATTGATTCTCATTGTTACCGCAGTTTCTTAAGTGCCAATAAATGTTTATCTGCAGGCTCTTCTGTGTACCCAGAGCGTGCGTTTCGCAGTGTGCTGGCAATGCGGTGAGGTCCTGCCAAAGGGAGAGACCTCAGCATGCACAGGTGGATGGGCAAGGGTGACAAAAAGGAAGCACACGGAGCTTGTGAGGCACACGGAGCCCGTGAGGCACATGGAGCTTGTGAGGCACACGTTGCTACCTGGGCGCTCTAAGGCCTGTTTTATTTTGTGCCAAGGGGTGGGTGCTGCCTTCTCAAAGAGGCAGGGCCAGCCCAGGGTGAGGCAAGCCAAGCAAGGGGTGTAAGATTTAAGGTGCCCCTCAGGGTCATGCATGTACTGACCTTGAACCTGCACTTCCCCGAGAGTGAGTGCCTCCTTAAGGTGTCTGCCCTAGTGCCTTGCTTGCCAGGAAAAGGACATTTGCCAAAGCCAGGGAAGGCTGTTAGGGGTTGGGGGAGAAGCCTAAGGGCAATGAAGATGTAACTTCCCAACCACATTCCTAAGTGCCCCCATGTCCCACTACCACGCCCTGGAAACGTGGAGACAAATGGTGAGGGCACGGGAACATGAATGACAAGGTGTCTTCCCTGGAGATGCTTTCAGTCACATGGCGGAGGCAGGCAGGTGCCATCTCACAACATGGGCCATGAAACTCCGTAAGTGTGACGGCTAATGACTACCAAACAAAATGCCATGGGGACACCGGAAAACACGGGGAAGATATATTGGAAAGGGTTGCATTTGCGCCGTCATTGAGAAATATGAACTTACTATTTATGAGAGGGAAATGAAGCAAAATGGGAGCATCATTTCTGCCAGGCACTGGATTCTCCTCCAGGAGGGGCGGCCATGCCCGGGGGAGCCTGGGGAGCACAGAGGGTCTGCAGGTGGGCTACTTCCAGAGGAACGCTCCCCAACCTCCACTGTGCTGCACACTGGGGCTCTGAATCTAGTGTGGCCAGATGAAATATGGAGCATTCCATTCAATTTGCATTTCAAATAATCAACAGATAATTTTTCAGTAAAAGCACAGCATGTCACAAATATTACATGGACGTTATACTTTTAGAAAGTATTCACTGTTATCTGAAATTCAGATTTTATAAAAAAGACTTTAAGTTCACGGATATATGTGCAGAACGTGCAGGTCTGTTACATAGGTACACATGTGCCGTGGTGTCTGCTGCTCCCATCAACCCATCATCTAGGTTTTAAGCCCCAGATGCACTAGGTATTTGTCCTAATGCTCTCCCTCCCCTTGCCCCTCAACGCCTGACAGGCCCCGTTGTGTGATGTCCCCTCCCTGTGTCCATGTGTTCTCACTGTGAAATTCAAATATAACTGGGTGTCCTGTGTTTTTATTTGCTAAATCTGACATCTCTATCTAAATAGAGCCAGTAAAATGGTGCATGAGAGGAAAGGATGGAGAGCGATTGAGGGAATGGTCCCAGGAGCCTCCCAGACAGATTCAGACTGTCACATGCAGGCTAATCCTCTGCTCTGAAAGGAAGTGATAGAATCCTAGAGCTAGAAGAACATCAGTTCTCAATCCGGGATGCACATTAGAGTCTCCCGGGGGAGCTGTAAAACAGATCAGTGCCTGGAGTGTAACCGTAGATATTCTGATTTAATTGGTTCAGTGTAGCCTAGGTATTAGCATTTCTTACAGCTCCCTGGGTGCTGGTAACTCAAAGGAGCTGAGAACCACTGCTCTGGACTAAGCTCAGTGCTCCGAGGCAGGAGGTCAGACAGATCTGGCCTAATGATGCAACTCTCCCAATTCCTAGCTGTTTGGCCGACACGACACTTGTTTCGCCACCTGTAAAATGGGGATGATACTCACATTACAACTCGTTGCACTGATTGTTTAAGAATTCTACTTAGACCCTGCAAACTGAAACATGCATTTACCTTCCTTCTACCTTGCAGCCCTGCTCAAATGAGTCCAGACTGATGAAGATTTTAGGAAAGATACCAACTCATCTACCCATTCACTAGTGTAAAGAAAGCTACTAGGTGACTGTCTGCAGAAGAGAAAACCCAATAAAAGCAAGCCAGCTTACACCACTGAACCCCAGAAAAGTTAGAGGGAGGCAGTGAGATCCTCTGCAAGCCAGAATGAGAGGCGGGCCGGAACAAAACCAGAGGATCTGCTCGTCATGTGCATGAAGAGGGGACAGGCCCCCCTGCCCCTTCATCCAACCCCTGCAGCCAGTGAGAGGCCGACGAGGGGCAAACCCGGGGACACTCAGTGGACACTCAAGCATACACAAGGGCGCACAGTGAAGGAAGTGTGAGGCAATTTATCTACAACAGGGGGATAGCGTGAAAGACTGCGGGCTGGATGTGAGGGTCTAGCACCATGCCCCAAGTGCTGGCAGCCAGGCACGCACCCTAGAGGCAGGGCACTTTCCAAAGAACCTGATAGAGGGACAGATGCTGACCTCTGAGGATCTCCTAAAGAAAGGCTGGGTGCCCCTCACTCCAGGCATTCACAGAACCTCCCCAGAGCCTTTCAGCGATTCTCTCCATGGCAAGGATAGAAGAGATTAGGAGAGAGCCTCTAACAGGATAGAGACCAAAAGCAAATGAGGTGTGGGGGGCGGGGCGAGGGGGAATCACTTGAAAGAAACAGAGATAATTCAAAGAGAGAATTTTTTAAAACTACAAAGAATTAAAATATTATAGTAATTATCCAGGAGATCCAATATCTGACTAGCTGAAGTTCCAACATGAGAAGACAGAAACTGGTAAAGAGTAAATTATCAACTAATACAAGAAAAATTTGTCAGAAATTAAGACAGACGTTCATAGATGGAATGAGCCCAACAACCACCAGCTCTCCCCACATCTCCACAAAAAAAGGGGGGGTGGAGGGTGCTTACACCAAAGTGAGTGAGTTCATCGTGGAACTTTAATATCCTAGAGATTAAAAAAAAAGACTTGAATGTTGAGAGCAGAAAAAAAAGTAAGAGTGAAAAGGGGTGAGGGAAGTCACATATAAAGGATTTGGAATTAGAATGCCATTGAATTCCTCCATGACTACAAGCTAAAAGACAGCAGAGTCATTAATGCATAGCAGATTCTAAGTCGGGGGTGGGGGGAAATGCTTTAGAATTCTATACCCAGCCAAACTACAAACCAAACCATCCAATGTACAAGGTATAGAAAAATTCATCTCCTATGCTGCCTTTTTGCAACTTTCATATTTGCTGAAAGATGTGTTCTATCAACACTTGAGAGAAAAATGAGAAAGATGAAGTCATGAGATCCAGAAAGCAGATCATATACAGGAGTGAGGTAAAGAGAGTCCTCTGGGTGAGAGCAAAGAAGGGAGGTCTCAGAATGACAGTGTGGTAGATCACTAGGCCAGAGCGCACCAGGACAGAGAACGCCAGCAGGCATGCCTCCCAGTCAAAGAGAACGGAGTCATACTCTGTTTCACTCATCTGACAATACAGAAAGGAGCTCTATGCTTCTGTTGGAAAGTTTGAGACTTCATTTTTAGACACAGAGAAAATTAAACAAAGTGACTATAGATTACGAAGCAAACTCAAGAAGGAAAACTCAATACACTTTGAAAATATTAATAGAAATATTATTTATAGTCATTATAATATAAACACTGAACATTTAATTAAAAAGTAGAAAGGATGAGGGGAGCAGCGTGTAAGGGAATGGGAATGGATGGAGTATAGGAGCTAAACCACACTCTTCAGCCAGTAGATAATGTCTATCTTAAAAATGAAACAATAGCACTAGATGCATATTACTTAGAAATCTGGAGACAACCTGCAAACAGCTGAAGTGGTTCCTCTAGGGAAGAAGGAATGGGTCTGAGAAGAGGATTTCTGGTTTTCCTTCTAAACCTTCTAGTTCCATTTGACTTTTTATATTATATACATATATTTCCTTCATATCGGTCCTCGTAAGTGTTTTGCATTTAGTAGGGGCTCAGTGAATGTTAGCTACTATTATCAAATTGTAGAACTGAAGCCAGGCACTGTGGCTCACGCCTGTAATCCCAGCCCTTTGGGAGGCCGAGGCAGGTGGATCACGAGGTCAAGAGATCGAGATCATCCTGGTCAACATGGTGAAACCCCGTCTCTACTAAAAATATAAAAAATTAGCTGGGCATGGTTGGTGCGTGCCTATAATCCCAGCTACTCGGGAGGCTGAGGCAGGAGAATTGCCTGAACCCAGGAGGCAGAGGTTGTGGTGAGCAGAGATTGCGCCATTGCACTCCAGCCTGGGAAACAAGAGCGAAACTCCGTCTCAAAAAAAAAAAAAATTGTAGAATTGAAACTGGATGAATAGAAATACTGTGGCTTACCTAAAGCTTCCTTCTCCTGAAAGTGTCAGAAGCAGAACTAGGACTTCTTTCTTCAAAGCTATTTAAAGGGCATCTGTGTCAGACACAAGGATGATGCAGTCCCGGGTCCACGAGTGTCATTCTATTCAGGGGCTGGGAGGAAGAGCATGTGTGAACAACACTGTTTCACAACGGATACCCTGCTGGTAACAAGCCTCCAAGAGTTACCACGCCAACCTTTAGCCAGTGTGTCCCTCTCATGTCCCATTCTCAATGCCAGAGTGGATCATACATATTAAGGACTATCTGCCACAGATGCTAACTTTAACACGTGAGCATTCAGGCTCTCTGGAGGTCATATATGCAGTCCATCACAGTCCCCTTTCCTTTCTTATGCTCAATTTCTAGAGAAAAGCCTGCATTCAGATTATAAAATTTACAACAGCAATCAGCAGGCCCATCGAGCAGCTCTGGTCACTGACTGCCTAGCTGTATCTACTTCCGTCAGGTTTTTTATAAAGTTTGGCCCTCTTGAAGCATCACCAGCACCCCATCTTTCTGGTGCCTTCCTGGCTAAGTGATGCTCAAAGTGCCAGGCAATCAGAATTTGGTAAGAAGAGCTAAGGAGCCCATTTTCCCGCTCCTTCTACCACGGGTGTCCTTGGCTGGGGCTGCCGCACAGAACACGCTCATGGAACTGCGGGGCTGAGGGCTGTAAAAGGGTCTGTCCTGAAAATAAAATGACCAAAAAAATCAAGCTCAGCTGGACTCTGATTTAATAGTATCTGGCAAGCTAACTATATTATTTTTGAACACAGAGACATAAATTTGATATGAATAATAAAACTGAAGTATAATATGGACAAAGGAAACATAAAATTCACCTAATCTTCAAAAGAAATTCTATACTTGAATAATTAACTATGCTCTATTTATAAAACTAGAATAATTGAAAACAGGATTTCCAGTTGATTCATATAGCCTCTGAAATATTTATTATTGCAAGTCGAAAAGATCTGTCTGGGGTTTGTCACTGAAAATGTCTAAACTCAGTGTCCAGATGTTTATTTAAGTTACTCCCACAGAGTTCTAATGTCAATACCAGGGGTTATCGGAGAGCATCGCTGTGTATCTTCCTTGACTAATATTCTCATTTCTTTTGCATCTTTGATGTTTTCTTTCATTAAAATTCCTGGCCCATATCCACAGAAATCTGCTGGGCTTGCATAAAAAATTAGTCTGCAGACCTGACATCTGACGATGCCCCGGGTGCTCACAAAGATAATATTTATCAGCAGCCATCACGTAGGCATTACAACCAGCAGCACTGAGTCCATTTAAAAGAATAAAAAGGAATACGGGATCCAGATTTGAGAACGGCTTACTTGCAGATCCCAACTTCCTGCCTATTCTTTTCTCCTAATGCTACGTAAGGCAAAGCTGGAACCGGCGCGGGATTTCTCACCGTGACCCCTGTGCAGTCTCTTCCCCTCCCTCCCTCTCATGCACCCTGTCTTCTTTGGAAAACCTAAAGTAGAATGACTTTAAAATAAAGGAAACCAGGCCCTCTGTCAAAACTCACTTCCTAAAGTTTCTGCAGAGTAAGACACCTGGGAGAACATTTTAAAGACAGATTATATGATGGCCTTTTCCTTCGTGTGAAAGTGGCAAAAGACAACATGGTTCCATTTTTTAGCTAACCAGATGCAGATTCTTTTTTTCAATCAGCTGCACAAAAGAAAACATGTACTAAAATTTCTCCTTTCCCAAACTGAATTTTATCCAAATTGTTAAAGTCCCTAGAACCCCCAAAAAGGGGTGACATGAATAAATGAAATTTGTATGAACATTCAAAAGAGCCTGGTGCATCCGAAGGTCTGTCCAAGCTAGGATCAGATGGGGAGGAAAGACCAGCAAGAGGTGAACGCTGTTTACCCTCTGCCGTTCACCATGCCAATGAGAAAGAATTAAATCTGATTTGAACAGCAATAGGAAGTGAAGAAAAAGTTTGCTACCGATGTGAAAAACACTAACGATACTAATCAGTGTATTCGAAACTGTGAACGGATTAATTGGCAGATACAATCTCCAGGAAAATCTCCACCTGCACTGCTGACTTGCTTAAATCGTAAAATTCACACACTCATGTGATAGAGTCGGAGAGCTGTCTTCCTAGCGGAAAGCAGTCACTCAGTAAACGTTCACTGGCTTTTCAATGAGTATCTAAGCCAGCATTTCTAGGTTAAGAGCTATCACATAAAACTGAATCTCCGGGAAGATCCATTTGGGAAATACTGGGTTAAATAAAGTTAGGCAGGTTTTTTACTCTAGGATGTCCCCAATCTTTAATAAGCTAAGGTGATTTGGAATTACCATGGGAGAGTGGGTGAAAGGGGCCAGATATTATGCTGTATTTCCCAAACCCATCTGTCCCCCAATTCCATTTTTCTCAAGATTTCTGTTTTAAGAGACACATTGTGGAACATGTGGACCACACATTGTTGAACTCCTTCATTTTAGAAACTGGACAACGCAGATCCCAAGAAGTCAAGTGACTTGGCCAAGCACTCAATTTGTTAAAAGCGAAGAAAGAATTCTGCCCCACCCCCTCAACCCGTCATCTCCCCTTCCACCCCCATCCCCACCACCCAATAGATCTTGATGCCTAGCCCAATAGCCCAGGACTCTTCTCGGAGCACTTTAGTTGCTCTAAGGCTACTAGATTTATTTTTACTTCACGTTCAGTCTAAAGGGAATACACTTTTAAACCCAACACTGGAGTTAATGCATCATTACCTGGTGACGCACCGTGATAATTCCACCCTATGTGGTCTCTTCCGAGTATGGAAGATGAGCTACCTTTGTGGAGGTGGGCAGGGGCGAGTAGAATCCACATTTCCATAGCACCTTTCCATTACACTTCCCTGTTTTTAACTACTAGAGTTCCCCTCTGCACTGGTCGTTTTAAGGAGCCGAGGAATTAACACGACAGTCTATCACGTGGTATGCTCCTTTTAGTGAACATCCGCGGAATGAATGAATGACCCAACCGAACAAACCAACAAGACGTTTCTTGCTTTCAAAGGACTTCTCAGCTCTTTGAAGGAAAGAATGACTAAGCATCAGCACCAGAAGGTGGAAGAGAAAATCATTTCTGTTTGCAAAAAAGATCCAGGCTGAGATAAAGGGGCTGGGCAGACACGCCCAGGCAGGACGACCCCACGCCAACTCACGGGAGGCCATTGACTTCGGTGGTTTCCCAATCTAGAATTTAGTTGGGAGAGGAGCCACACGTCGACAGTAAGTAACGTTTGTAAATTACCTCGCTGGGAACGACTCACGTGGACGAACCATTGAGCGCACGAGTCAGATCACGCCCTCTAGTGGTGAAAGCCCGCCGCGAGCGGGGCCTATGGAAATTCCTGGACCGCCGGCCACTGTCCCTTCTTAGTCCCCGATCGTGCCAATATTAATTTCTTTTTCAGATTTTTGACTGGAGGAGGACATTCTTTTTAACATTAATAACTTGCACAATGCCTCCGTATATACATTCTTCTGACAAGAAATGCGTGGGTCAAATCTGAAGGCCGCTTCTGTTTGGGCTCTGGATGTGTCAAGCCAAAAGTTCTTGAAAAATAAATGTGGTTAAAAAAGCAGCTAGACCGGATGCAGTGGCTCAGACCCGTCATCCCAGCACTTTGGGAGGCTGAGGTGGAAAGATCACTTGAGCCCAAGAGTTTAACACCAGCCTGCATAACAGAGCAAGAACGTGTCTTTACAATAATAATAATAATAATAATAATAATTAGCCTGCTGTGGCAGCGTGCTCCTGTAGTCCCAGCTACTCAGGAGGCTGAGGCAAAGATTGCTTGAGCCCAGGAGTTTCAGGATGCAGTGAGCCATGAACACACCATCCTGAGAGCAGAAGACCCTGTCTCAAAAAAAAAAAGCATTTAAGAAATTTGTGCCTCAACCCTACTAATCTCAATTAAGTGACCATTTTCTAAGGGTAAGTGCATTTTTTTCCCCTTTCTTTTTAAGAATCAAGATAACGTGAAGGGAACAGAGACACGCACACACTCATGAACTCAACCCAGGTATGTGTTTCAGGGATCCAGAGAGGGGGCGGTTCCAGAAGGAATGTGGCAGGACCTCCTGATGAAAAAACCCATCTGGGACTTAAGAAATCTGGATTCAATTCTTAGCTCCATCACGAGCTCACCGCATAATTAAGGGGGCAAATCGGCTAATCTCTCTGTCCTTCACTTTGTCCTCTTTAAAATGATAGTATCTGGCCTCTCCCCTCTTCTTAGGAATGCCATGTCAGCAGATGCTGGGACTGGAACATAGGGCCGCTGAGGCCAATGAGCTGTAGGCAGCTGAGCTATGCCCAGCCCCTCCTGCCCCAGCCTGTCCCGAAAATTAATGTCTTCGGTCACACAGGGTCTGCCTGAGAGAGTGTGAATGAATTTCAGACAACTCACAGCTCTTCCCTTCAGATGATGAGGCAAAACAGCATTTCTTTTGTGGAGCACAAGTTTTGTTTCCTTGCACAAAATTATTACCACCATCATGAAAAGAAGACATAATTACACGCAGAGAGGAGCTGTTGCAGAAGAAAGCATTTGCCCAAGAATTAGGACACCTGAGTTCTGTGCTGGTTGTGACAGCTGGGTGACTTGGACACATCCGGGTCCAAATAACTACTGTTTACCTGGAGCTTACAGTATGCTGTGCAACAGATGAGTATGAACTCAGGTACTTGATGTGCCTGGCACATATATACAGTGAGTGCTCCACTAAGTGCTAGCTATTAGTATGAGCATCTAATTTCGTCTCCTCATAAGCTTATGACATAGGTCTTATTGTTATTCCCATTATGCAGATGGTAAAACTGAGGGTCAGGGAAGTGGCTGCTCTAATGTGCCACCCAGATCCCCCTTAGGAACGAAGAATCGAATCCCCCAGCTGCTGGGAGTGCTGCCAGCTGACAGCCCTCTTTGAGGATTGCGTCTCCTGAAGAAAGCTGGCTCACCTGAGGACACGCGTCCTTCCAGGGGCAGTCCACAGCCAGTGACAGAGCATGCACGGTAACCAGGCCGGCTTCTTGTACTCATTTCACTGGGCTGCCGTAACACAGGAGCACAGCCTGGTTGGCCTGGAACAACAGAAACGTGTTTCCTTGCCGTTGTGGTGAGAGTGGAAGGCTGAAATCGAGGTGTCAGCAGGAACCTGGTTGGCTCCTTCTGGAGGCTCTGAGCGGAATTCAGTTCTGTGATTTGCCCCCAGTCTTGGGCAGGTGTAGGCAATTCTCTGCATTCCTTGGTGTGTAGGCGCACTGCTCCCGTCTCTGCTCCCGTCTGCCCTGGCCTTCTCCCCTGTGTGGCTGAGTGTCCAATCTCCCTCTCCTTTCTCTTATGAGGACACCAGTTCGTTAGATTTAGGCTCTCTAAGCACAGGATGATCGACCTTAGGAGCCTTCATTTAATTACACTTGCAAGGACCAAATAAGGTCACATCCACAGATACTGAGGATTAGGACCGGGACACATCCTTTGAGGGCGGGCCTCTGTTCACCCCTGACAGGGAAACTGAACTGAGGGGCTACCCAAGCAGCAGAGCATCCTGTGAGGCAGCCCAGCTTCCCCCATGCCCAATTCTGCTTCTTTTTCTTCGCTTTCACAGGTGGTTATTTCAGGAGCTCTGTCTGATAAATGTCTTGCACACTAGTCTCCATCTCGGTGTCTGCCATAATCGCAGACATTTCTAATCCCCCTACACTTCAATCTGTAACCCACGTACTTTTTAAATTCTTTTGCATTCTAATTCAAGACTGCATTATTCTATACGTACCTCTGGACACATATTACCAGTTTCTCCATTTCCCAGACGTCCTGAATTTTTCTGCTTCCTTCCTTTGCGAATGCCACGTCTGACCATCTCTCCATCATCCATCCATATGCCACCCCTGGTTCCAGGCCTGGTTCTGACCCCATCTCTTTCACAGTGCCTTCCTGGTCCAATGCTTGCAAGTGAAGCTGTTGGTCCTGCGGTCCTGTGTACTTTGGATCAGGATGCTGTGTGTGTGTGTGTGTGTGTGTGTGTGTGGCAGCTCTAGAAGGTCTGCGAAACAGGATTTGAGTCCAGCATGAGTCTGCTGCCTGTGAGGCCCATCCGTGCTCCCCTGCCATGTTGCCTCCCAGGACTCTGTCGCTGGTCCTTTTCTCTTTCTGTTCTGTGCTCTCTCTGCTTATCTCTTTTTTTTGTTTGTTTAGATAGAGTCTTGCTCTGTCTCCCAGGTTGGAGTGCAGTGGCGCAATCTCAGCTCACTACAACCTCCGCCTCCCAGGTTCAAGTGATTCTCCTGCCTCAGCTTCCTAAGTACCTGGAATTACAGGCGCCTGCCACCACACCCAGCTAATGTTTGTATTTTTAGTAGAGATGGGGTTTTACCATGTTGGCGAGGATGGTCTCGAACTCCTGACATCAGGTAATCCTCCCAACTCAGCCTCCCAAAGTGATGGCATGAGCCACCACGCCCAGCCAGCTTAATCATTTCTAGCTTTTGATTTAAAGTGAGAGATGTGCAACCCTCCCTCTCACTTGAACACTGTGGCCATTGAAGGGTTATTAATTGGCCTAAACTTACTGCTGTTGTCTCAGGGAAGAGGAACACCCATGGAGAGAGAGAGAGAGCCGGGGAAATGGCCAGTGGGTGGGTTAGTCTGAACATACACAAGTATTTATTTCTCAATTGAATTCACCATCTGATAGGTGCTTGGTTCATGGTACCTCGAAACAATTATAAAGGTAACATCAAAGATCATGGACAGACATAATAATGAGAGTATTTGAAATTTTGCAGGAATTGCCAAAATGTGACAACGTGACGCAAATACATGAGGCGAGCACATGTTGGAAGAACTGGTGCCAATAGACTTGCTTGACCCAGGGTTGCCAGAAACCTTCAACTGATTTTTAAAAACGCCGCATCTGAGAAGCACGATGAAGTGAAGTGGAGTAAAATGAAGCCTGTGCCCCCCAGAAGCCAGGAAAAAACACGCTTCAGGAAAGAGGGAGAGGTCGCCTATGTCAAAAACTGCCAGAGGTCAAGAGAAAGGACTGGAAATTGATGACTGAACTGAGGAGCGTGAAGGTCACTGGTGACCTCAACATGAGTTTTTTCAGGAGAATGTTTGGGGCAAATACTTAAGTTTAAGTGGATTCGAGGGAGGACAGGAAGGGAGGAGCTGACAGTGTGACAGACAACTCTTCCAAATTATGCTTTCTTGCTACCCCTTGGCTGTTCAGGGTACATCCAGGCTGCTTCCTATCCTTGTCCTTCTCTTTGATTTTCCATTTTCTCTCTTCTCTCCTGCCACCCTCCACCCCCCAAAAACCTGCCTGTTCCACTTATCATTCCTTTAAGCCCTATCTTCTTTAAGGAAAAAATATCTAATAAACTGATAGGCACCAAGATATTAAGAGTTGATTGATGCCAGTTAACCATCAATACTGTTCAGACCCCAAGACCCTCGCTACCCTTGGATGACGATAAAAGACGAAGAGGTCTCGGAAGGGCGGGGGAAATGTTTCTGCAGGCTGATGGAAGGCTACAGAAAAGAAGAGGCGTGGAGAAAATGGGCACACTCAAAAGAGACCAAGTCGGGCAGTGAAAAGAAAAGGTGGGGCCATGCTATAAACAGCGGGCAGCGCTCATTACCCACGTGCAGGGACACTACAGTACCGGATACTGTACTGTAGTGGGACACCACATGCAGGGACACTGGACCTGCTTGCACCAGTGACAACCATCTTTGAAAAAAACCCTAGAGTTTTAAAATTAGAAACTAGAGTTCTGGCATGGTGCTTTTCCAGTAATTTTGTAAAAATATGTTAGTTAATTATGAGACAACTCCATATTAATCAAAGAGCCCTGGCCCAGGAAAGAAAAAAATGAGCTGTGTCAGAACCAGCTGCTCAACCACAGGCAAGTCTCCATGCTTCTCTGTGGCTCAGTATCCCTGTTTATAGGGGTTGGAACGAATAACTAAGCTTCCTCCCTTCTCTAAAAACGGGTGTCGATTCAACGTAAGATTGGTTTTCTACTGCCAGTTACGGTGTTTCTAATGGTACTTGATTCTCGCCCTACTAAAAGCCACTAAAGGGAAGAAAAACATTTTTTATATTAAAAATGTAAATAATTGACAGAAGATATCCTTTCATTTTTACAATACGATCACTAGAAAAGCTATTTAATTCAACACAAATATATGTGGTACTGATTAGGAGAACTCATATATTTACCAGCAATATTTTCAGACAAAATTTATAAGCACTGAGTTGAGTCTCCCTCTTTTAAGGGGTATTTCTGTATGCGCTAAATAAGGACTTGATTTACAACTCATTCTTTCGCCTTAATAATGTAAAATTTCTCCATATGAAGTTGGATATCTCCTTAGCTCAATGTCCTAATTTCCCCTTGTCAAAATAGCTCTTTTAGGGAGTCCGTATTGTTCTCAGTTAATTTTAACACTAAATTAAAACGTTCATATGGTGGTGATTTTCAAACGTTTTACTTCATATGGCCAGAGGTACCTCTTAACTACTTCAGTCATAATTGTTACCATCGTTACAATAAGGTTTTCATATAGAATCACTTTTAGACCTCAAAGTGCTCTATAAAGACCACACTTTGAAATTTTGTTCACTTAAAACATACCCCATACATTAGATAAGGGGTCGCTGACCTCATCTTACAGACTTAATAGTCATGAGAGTACATAACTTCCCACTGGATTCAAAGGAAATGGTGGTATTTAAATCCTAAATCTAATCATCTAATGCTATTGCAGTGGCTTACCCTCTTTTTAAAAAAAATTTTTTTTTTGCCTTTTTTAAATTCCAAGTTTTCTAAAATCATCTGGGAAGTAATAGATCATATTTAATTGTTCAGGCTTTTATGCTGCGCTTTCAGAATCTCATCTGATTTGTGGTTTGGCTCTGGCTCAGTATTATCCAACACTAGGTTTATTTCATCGGCCCAGTATCAAAGCTTCCTCACTTTAGCCAGAAATTAAAATAATAGCTTTAAGAAACTCCTCCACCCCACCCCCCTTCAGCATGCAGCTAGCCAATGTGATCTGCCATATTTTTAAAATGACTATATGCTCCCCATAAAAAGCTGGATATATCATCCTTTCATTTATTTGGCACAGGCGCTCTCCACTTTTTTTGTGCAAAGACAGAATTAGTTTTGTCCCAACGGCTTTACTTTTGGTGTCACAAACAACTACGTCTAAGCCTGCAGAGTCTAAACTGCCAGGTTTACCTGGTCCTGAGTAGAGCCTATGACACTACTTTTCCTTACATCTCTTCTCCTGAAAAGTTTTATCCAGACAACCATCGAGTGAGAAGGGAAGAGTAAAGATTCCAGCAGTGGCTGAAATGATCACACAGTTGTAAGATGATTAAAAACAAAACACTGCAAATAAAAAACCTCCCTTGTAAGAATGTCACGGAGAACTGACAAGCAGCCCCAGAAAGCCTAGTTCTTGTCTGGCAACAGCACGTGTTAAAGCCGGAATGGCCCCTTGATTTGTGGTATTCGCCTGCAAGGCCATGCAGTCAGGGGCCTAAATTCTTGAGTGCTGGGTTCTTTTCCTGGCTGCCTCTGAGTGACCTTGAGCAAATTACCTCAACCTCCCAGTTATAGGAAACAGAGATAATCCCACGGACTACCTTCCACATTAGCTCACAGCCTGGCTTCCCAGAGAAGGCGACATGGATTAGAGACAGGTCCTGTGAAATGAAGAACCGTCACTCCTATGGATGACTATTACGTGACGAGATTAATCCTCAAAGCATCTTCCACGGTTCAGGGTGAGCCCCAAGCTTACCGCTCCTTCCTTCTCTAGACATTGTCTTGAAAATTGAAGGCAAGAATTCACAACTGCTGCATTCATTCCATTTTCCCAATTTAAACCTGAATTTGATTTTTTTAAAAAAATCCTTTCTCTTTTTTCCTCAGTCAAAACTACACAATACTTCAGGTATTTACACTAAGACAGCGTTCCGAATTTTCTACTTAACTCGAAGAAACTAAAAATAGTCATCGTCATAGAAAGAGTAAGAGTACGTTGGTCAAGGGCAAAGCTCCAAATCCCCTACCTCCCAAAGTCAACACATAGTTAGAAACAAGAAGTTAATTAATGACAGAATGCATCCAACATAGTTTTGAAAATGAATGACAAAGCATTTGCACCATCAAGGATTCTGTGTGTACGGAACGTGACAAGCTGATTCTAAAATTTCATGAAGATGCCCAAGGCACTTTGAAGAATAAGACGGCAGGCCTTGCTCCAGCCTCATCATTAAGCTATCATAAATAAGGCAATGTAACATTACAACAAATGGGTTCATGGAACGGAAGAGGGAATTCAGAAGGTAATACAGACGTATAAAGACGCTTGCTCTACGGCAGGAGTGCACGGAGGATCGGCTGGGAAGGAACGTGTCTGCACCCTATAATGCTAGCACCAGGGCTGCCCAGAAGGACCCCTTCCTCACAGTCATGCATATCTTCCAGGTGGAATCAAAGACCTAAAGTGAAAGGCAACATTACAAACCTTTTTTTTTTTTTTTTTTGAGACGGAGTTTCACTCTTGTTACCCAGGCTGGAGTGCAATCGCGGGATCTCGGCTCACCGCAACCTCCGCCTCCTGGGTTCAGGCAATTCTCCTGCCTCAGCCTCCCTAGTAGCTGGGATTACAGGCATGCGCCACCACGCCCAGCTAATTTTTTGTATTTTTAGTAGAGACGGGGTTTCACCATGTTGACCAGGATGGTCTCGATCTCGTGACCTCGTGATCCACCCGCCTCGGCCTCCCAGAGTGCTGGGATTACAGGCGTGAGCCACTGCGCCCGGCCTACAAACCATTTTTTTAACTATAAAGATTTTTAAAGATAAAAGAATATCTTCATGACTTATAACAAGACACAAAAGGCACTAAACATGAAAGATTTGTCGTTAAAATTAAGAATTTATCAATCATCAAGAAAATGAGGGGTGGCTGTGGTGGATTATGCCTGTAACCCCAGCACTTCAGGACGCTGAGGTGGATCACTTGAGCTCAGGAGTTTAAGACCAGCCTGAGCAATACAGTGAGATCTCATCCTGAAAAAAAAAAAAGAGAGAGAGAGAGAGAGAGAGAATGAAAAATAATCTGCCAAAAGGAGAGGGCATTTACAACCAATATAGCCAACGAAATACCAAATTATTTGATTGAATACCGAGGATTAGCATCCAGAATATATCCTACAAAACAATGAGGAAAAAAAAAAAAGCTTACACAACGTAATGCAAAAAGAAAAACTCTAATGGAGTCCAGCACAGTGATTCTTGCCTGTAACGTCAGCTACCTAGGAAGCTGAGGCAGAAGTATTCCTTGAGCCCAGGAGTTGAGTCAGAGGCTGCAGTCAGCTGTCATCATGTCACTGCACTCCAGCCCAGCCCGTGTAACAGAGCAAGACTCTGTATCTCTTAAAAAAAAAAAAAAAAAGACTTGAATGCGCACTTTTCAAAAGAAATCCAGTGCCCAATAAACATAGGAAGATGCTCATATGAAATTGCTAATCAAGGAAGAGTAAAATAAAACCACAATGAACATCTACTATATAAACACCACATTGGCTAAAATTAAAATCAGGCAACACCAAGTGTTGACAAACAAGCACTCTCACACATCATGGAAGCAGAGGTGGAAATAAAACATTGTAAAGGTATGCATACCTTGTAACTGAGCAATTCCATTCCTAGGTACACATCCTACAGACACATGTTTATGTAAGATGCTCTTTGCAGCACTGCTTATAATAGCCAAAAACTGAAAATCTCAAAGTATCCATGAGGGTAAAGTGGAATAACAGTGGTATTGATGAAACGGCACATTATACGGCAATGAAAAGAATGAAACACACCATGTGACATTGAATCTTCTATGCAATGTTGAGTGAAAAACACCAAACACAACATACAGGATGATTCTATCTTTATATAAGTCAAAAGTGAGCAAAGCATAAACCACGTTGTTATATACATAGCTGGCAAAATAACTCTTAAAAGGGCGGAAGGAGAATTACCCAGTCAGGATAGCTACCTCTAGGGGAAAGTGAGTCAAGAGAGGACGCGCGGAGATTCTGGAGTGCTGGCAGGAACTCCTCTGCAACTGGTCTGCGATTACACAGCTGTTGCTTTACCCATTAAACTCAGTTTTAAGTACTTTAAGTATTTATTTGTAGGTTGTATTTCACAAAATTTAAAAGAACAAGGGAGAACTTCTACTACCAAATATTAACACCAATTAAAGCCATAATTATTGATAGTGTGGAAAAAAAAATCAGAAGGCCCAGAAATTAGCCTACGACACACAAGAATTTAATATTCTATAAAAACAGCGTTACAAATCAGAGGGAAAACGGTGGTTTCGGATACTGAACCAATTGGTAAATGCTTTGAAATAAAGTCAAATCCCTACCTTACATAATATGCCCATATACATTTGAGATGGATTAAAAATCTCCTTTTCACCCCAAACCTGTATTCAGTTAACGTATATAAACAAAATTTAAATTCCTTTTACAGACAGATGTAAGGTGAGGTAAGACTGTACCAGAAGAAAATCAGGACAATTATTTATCCATTCTTGGATTACAAAAATAAGTTCAAGCACATACACAAAGGTAGACTCCTAAAGTAACTTCTACACTGAAATATCACAAACTGTGAAGACGAGACTAAAAAGTTACAATATGACAAAAGACATTCTTAAGAACTTATAAACAAAAAAATCCCCACCAAGTTCTCTGAGCAACTTACAGAAAAAATATGAATGAGCAATTCTCAAAAGAATGAATACAGAACGGCCAATGAACATGAAAAAAACACAACCTTCACTAAGCCATCAAAAAAATACGAATTTTAAAGGTAGCCCTTTTCTGTAATTATTCAATTTGCAAAGATTTTAAGTAGTAATTTTCAATTCTGAGTGTCAGATATATTGCTAATGGGGATGTAAATGACCATGTTCTCTGGTGAGTGATATATGTGAAAATTCCGAAAAACACTTTCACCTAATAATTTCATTTCTAGAGAGGCATCTTCTGGAAAGAAGTCATTTTGTATAGATGTGATTAAGATGCTAATCACATGACTATTTAGAGATTACATTATAATAAATAATCAGATTGCTGAAGAGGAAATCAATCTTAAAGTTACGGTACACCCATGAAATGAAATATCCTAGAGCTATCTAAAAAGCAAAATATTTAATATGGGAAAATGTTGGTAAAACATAAAGCAGACTACGAAGCAATGTACATTATGACTGCATTTTTGAGAATATAAATGTATAACTATGCATGGAAAAACAAGTAAAAACACAAAAGCAAAACGTTAGCAGAGGTTCTCTCTCTAGGCGGTAGGATAAAGGGAGCTGTGCGTACAGACACATGAACTCTTCCGTATTATTCAGCTTTCCAGAAGTAACATGTGGTATTTCATTCTGGAGAAAGAACATCAAATTTTAAGCTGTGAAATCATTCACTCTTAGTTGTGGGAACTGAAAATAATGACAATCTTAGGTCGTATACTTTTCACATTTGCTTGTGGGGAATAAGGGTAGAAACGGTAACTACGCTTGGAAGCAATGTGAAGTCTTTCTCAAAAGTAAACAGTGATACTTAATTCAGTCCCAGTAAAACATCACCATTAGCATTTGAGGTTGTTCTCATTAGCTTTTTATTCTTCAACACTTTTAAAGACTCCAATATATTAGACAAAGAATTTTTGATAATATAAGTTAATTTCTCTGGAGACAGCCATATAATCCTCTAAAATGACATGGACGTTTATATATGAGACTGGGGTCTCTGCAGTCTATATATGCCTCTTTCAGCAAGAAAAGCTAAGTACTGACAATTCAATTGTAACAACAACAAAAACAAACAAACAAACAAAAAAGAAAACTGGTTTCCTTAAGAAACATTCATGTTCTGTACATGAACCTATCATCTGTGACAGCAAGGAGCTCAAGTCAGGTGATGCACAAGCCTTCACCTAGCGCAGTTAGCTTGGACTTTTCCTATACCAGATTTGCCTGAAGTAACAGAAGATTATTTAAAAAGACCTCCACCCTCCAGCATCCACTCAAAAAAGAATTCCTTCCTAATCAAAAGAGTTAACATTCTTCCTAAGGAAAGACAGAAAAAAGGACAAACGCATTTAAGCATTTTCCATGCATGTCTTCCTAGGTATTTCACATCCAGTGTCTCAATAACCCCATGCCAACGTGCATACAGCTCTTTAGACTGCTCCCTTCCTTACCCAAAAAAGAAGCGAACTATGTCTTCCTCACAGATTTTAGATGCCTGGGACAAATAAGTATGTCACTGAGAGACATGGAATAAATGCTATTTGATAGGTAAGCATAAGGAAAAAAGCAAAATCACCTCTTTTCATTTGGCGTAAAGAAATAAAGTATGTTCTACTGTATACTAAAATATCAGACCAATACACAACACACGGCAAAATTGTAATACAATGTGGTTAAACACAATATTCAAATATTAAACTTTTCAAGCACACGAAAGCCATCTTCCGAAAGACAAATGGGATTTTTTATAACTACCTTTGTGTGACTTTATAAAATGACTTCCTTCTACACTATCTGACACTGATCTTGATACTAGTTGGAAAGTCTGATGTAAGATGATGACATCTCAACGTCAGTGATTTAGGAGATTATCTTCAGAATTCGTCAGAGGACCCATCGTCATCTTCATCCCTTACTTCTCGGTATCTCCCTGAAGACTCCCCTTCTGGATTATAACTCCGCATTTTAATATTCAGTCTTTCAGCTAATTTTTGCGCAGCGAGCTTTGCTTGCATCTCCTTTAAAACAAAGAGCAAAGCAAAAAGTTACATAGTCACATCTCTTCCTTACAATTTTTCAATGGGAAGTTATTAGAATCAGAAATAAGAGGGGCACTGACATCTCACTGAGTACTGTCTCTGGCAATGCGAGCCTGATGGCTGTGCCCTATCACAGACACAACAGAGCAATGCTTCTAACAGCCACCAGCCTGCTACAGTTGAAGTTACTGACCTCCATTAATAAACAACATTGCACTGAAATACACTCTTCTGTTCAAAAAAATGAGTCATCACCTTAGCACTACAATACTTATAAATTCAGATGCATTGAATATGTGGGCATGTGCACATATATACGCACTCGCCTAACAACTTGAGCTATCAAATGTCAAAAATCACTAACACTGTCTACATTTCTACAACTGACAGAACCTTCTTCCCTAATCACAATCACAGCTTCTAGACTTGAGAACTGAATTTCAATGGCAAAATAAAAATCAAGAAATTAATACTAAGAAGCTATTTCTCGCCACATAAAGTCCTACAGCAACTAGTATTCAACAAAAAGTCCAAGTAAATTTCAGACACTGGCAATGTGCTTACAAACCTCCAGGGACCTTACCACCAACTGACGGCAGCTGGCAAAGTCACTCCTAATTCCGTTCTTCCCTTTTCTCACGCTTTCCTGAGGTTCTTCATGTCCTTCACTTCAAGCCATGAATATGGGTAAGTAAAAGTCGGAGCCATTACTACCACAACCTCTCTCCCAAGAAAACCAATTTCAAGCCGAAGGTTTAATTGAACCTAAAAATATCTTAGAACCGGCATTTAAGAGCCCAGAGACAATTTAAGCAACACTTCCTCAATGCTACGGTCATGACTAGTCAGTCATTTTAATGCACTGAGAGAAAGAAAAATGGGTTTTTTTTAAACAATAGCACCTTGAAAACGCCAATCCATGCCAAGCCTTCTATGAAAAGCCAACGCAGATTATCAGCCTGTTTTGTTGTTCGTTTTTTGGAGACAGGGTCTCACTCTGTCACCCAGGCTGTATAGAGTGCAGCGGTGCAACTGCAGCTCACTGAAGCCTCAACCTCCTGGGCCTAAGCAATCCTACCTCAGCCCCACACGTAGCTGGGACCACAGTCACGTGCCACAATGCCTGGCTAATTTTCTTGCGAAGATACGGTCTTGCTCTGTGCAGCCTGCTGTTATACTAACTGGTGCACTAGTACCTGACTGAAATCAAAATAAGCAACATCTAGGAAATGAGACAGGACAGTCTGCCGGCTAAACAACACTATCCTCCCACTCCTTCTATGCCCTCCCCTGTACTGCAGGAGACAGAAGCCTGGGAACTACATTTCCTCATTCTAGAAGGGGTCTGGGTTAGAGTCCACCACTGAGAAGCTGCCACATGGGTTTTACAAGGTGAAAGGGAGAGACAGGGAGGGATGCGATGCCACGACTATCCTAACAGAACAGGCAGGTGCGTGAGCTTTGAGACCTGAAATTCTACAGCAGTCTCCCCACATCTTCTGGCAAAGCACCACTTTTTTTTTTTTTTGAGACGGAGTTTCGCTCTTGTTACCCAGGCTGGAGTGCAATGGCGCGATCTCGGCTCACCACAACCTCCGCCTCCTGGGTTCAGGCAATTCTCCTGCCTCAGCCTCCTGAGTAGCTGGGATTACAGGCATGCGCCACCATGCCCAGCTAATTTTTGTATTTTTAGTAGAGACGGGATTTCACCTTGTTGACCAGGATGGTCTCGATCTCTTGACCTCATGATCCACCCGCCTCGGCCTCCCAAAAACCCACTTTAATGTTGCAGATTGCTGTTCATCTCTAGCTGTTTCCTGCAGTTCTACCAACTTTGTGACTCTGAAAACCAGTGGTATAGGTCTCAGCTCATGGAAGCACCTAATCCCCTCTATTCCAGTCCATCCTCCTTGAACCTGGAATAAATTCTGACTTATGTAAGCAGCACCCAACAAACAGACGAGAGAAAAACAATACTCTAAATACCTCATAATTCTGTTTCTGCTGTTTCTGAAGTGCCAAAGACTCTTCTATGGAGAGCAGCTGCGCGGGCGTGTGGTGAAGGGGCAGAAGCCGAGCTGCTGTGATGTCATCGAGGTGCTGCTTATCCCTGCGCCGCCGCTCTTCTGCGGAAATGGGAGACCTTCTCTTCTGACCGTCACCAGATGAATCAATTTGTCGAGAAGGTAATCTGATAAAAGGAAAACTTGTGTCACACAGACTATTTTCTTTATTTGTAGACACATTTAAACCATTCACACAAAAGGCCTTTAACCTTAGCAATCAATTCTCCTCCAAAGGTAATAGTAAGCAGTTTCCCAATATTCACTGCGCTGACAAATAGGAGTGTGTTTGCGCATACAGGCTCTTTGCCTTTTCCTTCATCAAACCTTATACTTTAACTGGAGCTTTTCTTTTTTCACTTATTCATTCAATGAACATTTGCAAAAGGGTTTACTGCCTCGTAGAGAGAAATAAACATGTAAAGTTTCAGTGCGATATAATACCAGAGGTACTATGACAGATACCTCAACGAGATACACTGGAACATAAGGAAATGGCCAGTTCCCGTGGGAGACAGGGAGGTTGTCAGAAAAGCTTCCAAGAAGTGACATTTGAACAGTCTTGGAATAATAACTGCTTACCCCTTAAATGAGGAGAGAAGTGCATCCCAGCAAGGGGAGTGAGAGGAAGCACAGCAGGCACAGACACCCAGCTTTTCTGCTATACAGAAAAGACGGCCACAGAGAGGGCTGGGAAGTAGGATGAGCCCAGACTGCAATGAGAAGGTCAACAGAACAAGTTCAGATTTCCATCTTAAAATTTCACTCTGGCAGCAGTGGAGACTGACTGCTAGTTAAACTAGAGGCAGGAAGAAGCCACAGTTGTAGCCCAAGAGAGGGGAGTGTCTTCACTCTGACAGAAGATGAAGAACAATTATACAGATGAAGATCAAGGAAAATACATTACGTAGGTCTTCATGGTGAGCAGATAAGGAGATGAGAAAAATGAAAGATACCTTGGGGGAAGAAAACCAAGAAGAAGGTGGGGACACTATTAGAGAATATGGAAATTACCTTGGAAAGAAACAGGGGTGCCACTTTGTACATGATTAAGCTGAGATGCCAGGGAACACCCAAGTGGTCAAGTGTTATGGCTAATTGGCCATGTAACCCTAAAACTTCTGGAAGATCTGGAGTAGAGGTAGACAAGGGGCAGCCTCCAGCATCCAGGTGATATACGAGGCCAGAAGAGTATGCAGAAGGAAGAGCAGAAAGGCTCAAACGGACACTCCCTAAGCCCATTTTCCAGCCTCCAAGCCACTTCTTACCATGTGTGTAGCCTCTGGACTCCTCAAAGCCCTGCCTTTCCTGCTCTCCTTTAACTACACAGGAGGCTCCCTCTCTCTTAAACTTCCTGCACTCTTGGTAACCCTCATCACTATTCCCTTATCTCCCTCCAACTCCTACATAAATGACCATAATACAGAACTGGGATTAATGTATTCTTTGTTGTATTTATTGGCTAGATGACGGTTCTAGTTTTCTACATGTCATCCTGGAAGTGAAACGTGTACTTCACTGTATACAAGAGATTACCTGACCACATTAATATACTATAGTCCTGATTTTGTATTCAGCAGAAATCACGTTTTCAGGTTAAAATGAATGCTGGGGTTGAGTTAAAGTGTAACAGAAAAGACGCATGTTTTAGGTACTTTTCGCTAGAGGTCTTCTGTTTTTCAGAGAATGGTAGTAGTGATTTAACGGTGCATTTGATGTTATGTACTTGTAAATACAGCACGGGAAGGTAGCAGTTACCCGAGCTGAATGTTACATTTGCTGCAAGTAAATAGCAATTCTTTTCAAAAAGATTTTATTTTTCCTGAAATGTCAGAAATAAATTTATGGCAAGGAACTGATAAGCAGAGTTTCTGCCCATCCTGCATGAATCTATTTTCACAGTTTTCAAACCGCTTCTCAGCTTCCTTCTCCCTGAAACTATTAGTATGTAGTTTAACTCTTTTGCAAGTGTGTAAACCTTGGGTCTTCATCCAGCTCCTAACCTCACTGAAGAACAGGGAGTTTATTACATTATACGTGTATACATTATGGCCATGTTTTTAAACTTGAGATACAACATTAATAAGGCAAAGGAGTTTAAGAATTTTGACTTCACTGTGTCCCCACAACACCTGCTGCTTGCTTACATTTAGTGAGCATGCACATCTCTTCTGCTGGAAAGCCCATGAGCTCCAGTTGCAACTGCCTTCCCCTTAGTTCACAGACTAATCACAGTGAGTACACTTTGATAGTACACTAATCAGAGCTGTACGGTAAAAAATGGTTCCGAAAAAAAGAAGTCATAATAAATTCTCTCTCCAACCCTGTTTATTAGGAAATACCGGGTCACAGCCTGAAATTTAATACTCCCCCATGTGCTATTTAAGACCTTTTCAAAACTAAGTATTTTTCAACATGAATCTTCCACTCCATCCAGGCTGGTCTGTGTTTCCACAGTATGTTCTTTTCTAACAGGCAGTTCTCACACAAAGCCACGGAACTTAGAGCATTCTCCTGACTTTTTTTTAAAAGAAAAGGTTGCCCAACCTTCTCCAACTCCTGTCCTCAAGCTGTCTTCCCACCTCAGCCTCCTGAGAAGCCTGGGACTACAGACAAGCACCATCACAACCAGCTTCTCGTAACTTTTTAGGTTTAACAAATACTATGCCCCTGTTACAGGCCTGTTTCCGATGGTACTTACACATTGGTCTTAAATGTATGCAGCTGGGGCACTGGGTTTTTGGCTCGCGTTTCTAGCACTTCCATGTAATGAGGCTTCTTCTGAGTCGCATGAGAAAGGCCTGTCAAGTTCATGGCACCTGTGCTTTCTTCTGACTGTTGTTCACCCTGGTCTGCAATGCTGATCCCCTGTAACCTGTCAATAAACAGGCTGTCAGAGCTGCTGGAAGTATCTTCTGCTTGACTTGAAACACGATGCTGCGGGTGATGCTCACTAGCTTCAGACGAAGGCGGCGCTCCGTCTCTGTTGCTGGAAGCTGGGCCCTTACTCACTGCGTACTCAACCTCTGGAGTCTCTTCATCACCTTCATGAGTAGGACGTCCAAGTCCCTGGTTTCGTGAGGTTGTTTCAAATGACTTGATGTTATCTACAGAGGAACAGCCAGGAGCTAGTGATGAAGCATCAAGTATCTGGTCAGAATTCCGGGCCTTATCTGTATCGACATCCACCTCTGCAGTGGCTTCTTGCCTTAGCTGACAGTCTAAACTAACAGCATGAAACAGTTCACTTTTTCTTCTAACTTCTTCACGTTCTGCAATGGCAGCTTTCAGTTTGGCAACAGAGTCAAAAATCTTTTTACCTTTGTCGGGCAATTTGCAAATGAATTTTCTGTCAAATGGAAAAGAATACATATATATTACAGTCACGTTTTTAAACTTGACATACAACATTAAAGAAGCTAAGCATTAACTTGTAAGAAAAAAAGCCAATTTTTTAAATCGAATATCTGATTTCTAACTTCTCCAAAATGGGAATAAAACAAATAAATGGCCATTATCCAAAGAGCCCAAAAAACACGGGAATGCAGGAACAGAGAATATATGCCTCATTTGTCTCAGCAAATTAGAATTTCAGCAAAAGTACTTCAAGCATATAATAATCACGTAAGGCATTCCAAGAACCAGCAGTCATTAAATCTCCAAAATGTGAGGATGGGGTTGAGTGTGGGGATGGGTCTATTAGGTCAAAACTACTTTCATCATAATACCAAGATGTTATTTCCCTCTCACTTCCTCACATGGGTACAGTGGAGTTTTCCAGAGGCTACATGACATGTGATGACATCATTGTTCTAGAATAGAATGTGTGCTTGTGTATACTTACGTTTTAAAGACTTCAGCTGCATTTCTGATAAGTAAATGAATTTTGCTAGATATAACACATAAATAATTCCATGGGATGTCAATAATTCTTAAAGTATAAAGGAGTCCCAAGACCAGAAAGTTAATTCACTGCCATAGATTGAAAACCTGTTCTCACAAGGTCAAAACACCTGTCTGGACCCCAATCAAATATTTATCTCTTTTGTTGGATAACAGAGTTCCTTTTCTGATTCCCTTTTCTTTATAGAATCAATGGAGAGAAAAAATTAAACCCTGGGTCCTCTGTTCTTTTCGACAATGCATTCATTCTCACAACTGACAACACTACAGCTGAAATTCCTATGTTTTCTATATTTTTCCAATTTCTCTCTTTCTTGAGCCTCATGACTGCTTCTCCAGCTTTTGTTTGGTTTTCACTTAACCAAATGTCTGTCCTGCTCTCCTCTCACCTCCGCACACCCTAAGTAAAATCAACCTTGGATCTATTCCTCTCCCCGAATTTTCCTATTTTTTGCTAGTGGTGTTCCATATACATAGGAAACTTCGGCCATCTCTGCCAACTACATGTAAATTAGTCCATGCTTAAAGTTTTCCCAATTCCTTCCTAGTTCACTTCCTTACAACTCTCTCGTGGGGAGCCTCTCTGCAAGCATCCTTCTACTGTCCTCTGCTTTTTATTCCTTCAAACCATCTTTTGCACGAAGCTGCTGAACAAAACTGCCCAAAACACAAAATCACTTTTATCACGTGGCTCCCCTACTAAAATCCTTTAAATCAGCCAGCTGAACGAGGGTCGAACTTTCCCGGCCTAATAAACAGCTCCTCACATCCCACTCTCCCCATTTCCTACGGTTCCTGTAAGCATAGAATCCAGACATGAAGCTGACAATCCGTTATGGGTTAGGGGCGCGGGCGGCCAAAGGCTTAGGATGCAGACTCTTGCTTCACGGAGCCAACAGAGTGCCCGGGAAAACACCACCAGCGAGGAGCTACTAACTCACTGCAGCGCTAAGGAGCCGTCCAGGACGAGTCGTCCTCGCAGGCAAACGTGCCTGGCCAGGGAGAGGGACGGCTCTGCGGCAGCAAGTCCTCTGTCCACTCGCCCGGAGGACTGAGGCGAATGTGACTGAGGCAAGGTCACCTTCCAGGGAAGTGAATGGAGTGAGGGAGGGAAGGGGAGCGCCCAGGGAGCTCCAGCTGAAGGAGCCTGGCAGTGACTCCGCGGGACCGCAGCTTACACGTTGCGCAAAAGTCTCTCCTGGCGCTTCAACATTTCCCGCAGCTCCACCAAACTCCGCTGCCCCAGGTCCTCGGGTGCTTGGGGCTCGAAGCCGCGGGGCAGCGAGGACATTCTGCGCAGGCTGAGGCTGGCGTGGCGGCGGGCACTCGGCTTCCTCAACAGGCCCCGCAGCTAGCGCCGGATCCGCGGCCGCCGGTGACTCCGGGGCATGAGCGGGAGTCGCCATTTTCCCGGAAGAACGGGCTCTTCTTCGAGCCGAATCGAGCTTTATTGAAATGCCGGAAACAAACACGGACCGGGAGAAAGGGGGCGTCCGGGGGAAATCGCTGCAGGGCGGAAGTGACGTCATGACGCCGGCGCCGCGGCTTGGCGCCCTTTCCCCTCGTGTGAGCGTTTCACCCGTCGTCAGCGGCGCATCGGTTTGTACAGAAAGTGTTCTGCGCCAGGGTGACCTCACCAAACACGACGTGTTAGTCACCAAATAGCCACGTCCTCTGTTATAGTTGGAGTTTACGGAGTGGGGAAGTCAGGGGGACGATCAAATAATAATACAATAGTAACGTTGCGTTGGACACCTCGGAGGGTGTCTGCAAAGCGAGATTCCAGTGGAAACCTTAAGGATGAGCTGGCCATTAATGACGTAGAGGAGAGTGTGAGACAAGGCGTGGGAGACTCCGGCCTGCGTGTGGTGCCTCCTAGCCCGGCTTCGTGACGTCCGGAAATGTTCAAGTTGGACGGTCCCTTCTTGGGGCGCAACGGCGTTTGCAGCGGGACATTCAGGTGCTTCTGGCTGCCAGGCACTCCCAGATCACTGCAACAATCCGGAACGTCTCCCCCAACATACATGTCCAAGGCCCACAAGAGGTGAGGAGTGGGAGCGGCTGTACAAACCGCTTGACGACCTTTTCTAATTTCCTACTTTGCCAATAGAAAAACAGCGTCACGAAAACGGAAATAAATATTCCCAGGGCACAAAACCAGCGACAGCACCCGATTTCAAACCCAAAAGCCCAGCTGCTTTTCCAACGTACCAGTCTGAAAATCCCCGTCTTCACTTAGACCTATTTCCAAATGTGTAAAATTGTTGAAAAGACTTTACTTTACAGCTGTTGAGAAGAAGGCAGGTTCGTATCGGACCCAGCTTTTACCTTCTTGTAGTTCCTCTACCAGAGGTGCATCCCAGTAGAAAGAGTTGGAAGACATGCAGTCCCAGCAGATGTCACTTGGGAGGTTTGAAAACGCCATAACCTCCAAAACCACGCCCTCCCCCAATTTTTTTGATATAGAAGATTGAAGGTGTGTCAATCCTATGTAAGATGCTACATAAACACAAACAGCTCCGTCCCAAAGAGACAGACGATCTAGGTAAAAATCCAGAGCTATTCCAGGGAGCACAATTGCAACCATTTCTCTATTCCCAAAATCTGGTCCATTTTGATCAGACTCGTTAACATATCAAAACAAGTTTTCTCAGTATAAGACTTCCTTTAAAGGGCACTTAAACCTGCTCCAGCATTGACTGAATGAGAAATAGTTGAGTAAGTTCCTTGAATCAGGTGATTTGTCTGTGGCGTTGGCAAAAAAAAAAATCGAACTCTGTAAAATATTGAACAGATTTATTCTGTGCCAAATATGGGTGACCGTGGCCCATGACACAGCCCTCAGGAGATCCCGAGGACACGTGCTCCAGGTGGCTGGTGCACAGCTTCATTTTATACCTTTTTCGGAGATCCGAGACGTCAATCAAACACATTTAAAATGAACAGTGGCTTAATCCAGAAAGCTGGGACAACTCAAAGCAGAAGGAGTGTGCAGGAAGGTGGGCTTCCAGGTTATAGGTAGATTTAATTTTTTTTTTCTGATCCACAATTAATTGAAAGGAATGTCTGGGTTATCATAAGAGGTTGTGAAGACCAAAATTTTACCATGCAGATGAAGCCTGCAATTAGCAGGCTTCAGAAAGAGTAAGATGAAAATGTTTCTTATCAGACTTAAAAGTCCATGTTGATATTAAATGCTGGGCAGCTTTTTCTGGATTCCAAAAGAAAAAGGACAGCAAAATGAGGCATGTCTGATGCCCCTTCCTGTCATGGCCTAGTCAGTCTTTTAGGTTAATTTGGAGGACCCTGGCCTAGAGGAGGAGGTCCAGAAGGTTGAGGGGGCCTTCTCATTTTACTTTTGATTTACAGTAACAAGGCTATTATATAATCAGCAAAGTGACATCTAGAATACAAAAACTCAATTTCTTATACATCAATAAGCAAAACAAATCAGCAGGGAAAAAAGGAAAAATACAAATAGTTCACAGAAGAGGAAACTGAAAAAACCAGAAAACATAATTAAAAAAAGATCCTCAACTTTAGGGAAATGCAAAGTAAAACAAAAATCTTAAAAATCCCAAACTCTTTCTGATTGGAGAAATAGGAGCTCACGTGTTGCAGAGAATGAACTGGCAGAAACACTGGGAAAAGGTATGCAGCCATATCTAGCAAACTGGAAGGCATAAATCTACAATTTAACAGCCTCTACGTACACAGCCTTCCTAAGGAAACTCTGTATGCACTAAAGATGTGTGTCAGTGCTTTCATTGCCACGTTGTTTATAGTGGCAGCCAAAATGGAAAACTACACCAATTAAAATGAGAATTAAATCTACAGATAGCAACAACGTTGAATCTATAAAACTTTGCAGAACAAGATCATTTATTTTAAGCTGAATAACATGCAAATTAATACTGTATGTTTTGTCAGAGGATGTATTGAGATATAATTTACATGTAGTAAAACACCCCCATTTTAGTGGACAAGTCTGAGTTTTGACAAATGTATACAGTTCTGCGATGACCACCATAATTATGACATAGAACAGTTCTATCATCACCCCCAAAATGTAGTCAGCCTCACCACTGAACCCCGACTCCTGGCAATTACTAGTCTGTCTTCTGTCCTAGACTTTTGCCTTTTCCAGAATGTCATATAAGTAGAATCATACAGTAGCCTTTTGAATCTGGCTTGACTCAGCGTAACAGTTTTCAGATTCATCTATGGCACTGCAGGTATCATAGCCCGCTCCTTTTTATCGCTAAATAGTATTGTATTCTGTGGCTGTGGTATTCTATTGTATGAGTTTGTTTATACATTTAACAGTTGAAGGATATTTGAGTTGCTTTAAGTTATTGCTGAGTATGAATCTAGTCTCTTTAAGTCTTGTGTATAGGTTTTTGTGTGAATATAGGCTTCCATTTCTCTTGGGAATGGTATAACTAGGTCATATGGTACATAAATGTTTCTAAGAACCTATCAAGTTGTTTACAAAGTATCTGTACCATTTTGCACTCCCCCAGCAATGTCTGAGGGTACCAGTTGCTCGACATCTTCATTGACACTTGGTTTTCGTTTTGTTTTGTTTTTTTTGAGACGTGGTCTTACTCTGTCACCTAGTCTGGAGTGCAGTGGCGTGATCTCAGCTCATCGCAACCTCCACTTCCCACGTTCAAGCGATTCTCCTGCCTCAGCCTCTAGAGTAGCTAGGACTGTAGGCAGGCGCCACCACACCCAGCTAATACTTTCTGTTTTTAGTAGAGACAGGGTTTTGCCACGTTGGCCAGGCTGGTGTCAAACTGCTGGCCTCAAGGGATCTGCACACCTCAGCCTCCCAAAGTGCTGGGATTAGAGGCATGAGCCACTTCAACCAGCCTGTTTTTAGTTTTGTTTTGTTTAATTTTAGTCACCAGCCTTCTTGCTCAAGTGCTCAAGCTGGGCTACTTAAGAAAGATTACAGAACTTGCATCAAACATTTTTTATGGTGTCAATCACGTTTGTAAAGGAACGTGGACATTTTCTCCATGAACAAGAGATATGATCCATGAAAGTTGAGGGGGGTTGGATGAAAAGAAAGAGATGGGAACCAAGGATCATAAATAAATATGAAGCAAATTCTATTTTCTTTCTTTTTTTTTTTTGAAGCATCCATTTGAGAATGGAACATGCTGATTTTTTTTCTCTTTTTTGAGGCAGGGTCTCCCTCTGTCACCCAGGCTAAAGTGCAGTGGCACAGTCATAGCTCACTGCAGCCTCGAACTCCTGGGCTCAAAGGGTACTCCTGCGTCAACCTCCCAAGTAGCTGGGACTACTGGTGCATGCCCAGCTGGTGTGTGTGTGTGTGTGTGTGTGTGTGTGTGTGTGTGTGTAAAGATGGGGTCTGGCTGTATTGCCCAGGGTTGGTCTGGAACTCCTGGGTTCATATGATCCTCCCATCTTGGCCCCTCAAGTGCTGATATCACAGGTATAAGCCTCCATGTCCAGTCACATTGTGCATTTTAAAACATTCCAAAACAATGGCCACAGCTAATGAAAAATTACTTAGGAATGGTACACCAAGGACTTTATTGAACAATAATGAATGACATCTGTGTGCCATTTTACAAAACCGTTCCTTCTAGTCAGTCCCCCAGACTGCTTTCTCACACGTTAAAGGGGAAGAGACAAGAGCTAGGACCTCCTGACTTGTTCACCTAGGAGCTCCATTCACCACGGTACTGCATGTGCCACTCAGTTAAGAGCTTCATAGAGAAATGACAGGAGGCGGCTAGTGAGGGATGAGGAAGCCAGGGAAGGAACAAGGAGCTGGAGTTGGGTATGAGAAAAACAGTAGAAAAAAGGAACTGGTAAAGAGAAAGACGAAAAAGTGAAAGGAGCAATAAGAGGAATCACGTTTCTCTGCACAGAAATCAGCAACATAAAGCTCTAAATGTGAGTCCTCAGGAATTCACAGATACAGGTTCTGTTTCCCTTTCAGCTCTAAAATTCTATACTTGTACAAAATGCCACATTTCCCCTCTTTCTATTTCGCGGTGATCCCATGGCAACAAAAGATTTCCTCAGCCACCCAAGGCTCCCGGCTGTAAAGTGCCTGCACCGCACAGTAAACGTGAATTCCAACTTGTTCGAAATGAGGAACCACAGTGTCAGCTCGTATCTCCCTTTTTATCAGCAAATAGTCATTTAAAGCCATTTGCCCTGGCTGTGGTTCCCCGGTGACGGACTACGGCCTATTAAAATTAATCCTGACAGAAGATCCTTGCTGCTTTCTCCAAGCCCATTCAGGCCATTGGTTTATGAACAGGATGAACAGACGGCCCATCCCAGAGGGCTTGAGGGAGGAAGCATATTAAAATGGCTGCCTGCATCTTTGTTTGCTCAGCTGCCTGGAAAAACTAGGACTAAGGGAAATGGGATTAATCAAGGGGGCAGTTGCCCATGGGAAAAAAAAAATACAAAGACTGGTGAGAAAATCTCAGCCAAGTAAGGTTCGAGTTGAAGGAAGAGAACCATGTTCTCTTGATCCCGTCACGTGGCTGAAGTGTTGTTCAGTGATGCGTCCCCCATTTCAGGCCACCGCTGTGTTTTATGATCTTGATAGTGCGGGAAGGCAGAATTTATTAGATGTTTGGCACTCTGAAATTTCATGTAAGTTTACTTTTTAATTAGCAAATTGAATAAAGATTGTTGGTTAGATATGTGACCAACTGAATTGTGATTGAATAATAAAACTTTACAAGACTATTTAATACGAATAAACTCACAAACTGGTGAAAAGAAGCCCTTGAAAGAGCACATGATCTTCCACACAGACGATACAGACCCTGTAGCTAAGGCCTCACCTCCCAGTTTAAGACATGAAATGTTAAGATGAAAAATACTTTCCCCTCCCGTGATTTTCCCTCCCGTTGACACAGTGAGTGAAGTCCCACCAGGAAGAAGGTGACTTGGTGACAAGCTCTTCCTTTGAGAACAGAAACGATCAGTTAGTCACTTACACGAGAGGACTGACTGGTTCCACAAGGCTTCCTCCAACAGCCTAGCTGAGGACATGACCTGCACTCAGAGTCTGTTTAGAAGGGAAAGGGAGAAAACGGAGGGAATTTTGAGTCATCTGAGAAGAAGAACACACGAGAGAGACTGCTACATCATTGACCTTCGGATACTAGCAGGACCCCAGACTACCTTATCTCCAGGATTTGGAAAGCAGGTAGGGCAGGAAAGTAGGAAGAAACCAAAGCCAAACTTTGCTTAGAATTGATTCAAATTCTATGCTGTAGGCCAGAGTGTCCTACACTTAAATGGGCCTCCAGATTCATCCATGTCCCTACAAAGGACACAAACTCATCATTTTTGATTGCTGCATAATATTCCATGGTGTATATGTGCCACATTTTCCCAGTCCAGTCTATCATCGATGGGCATTTGGGTTGGTTCCGGGTCTTAATGAGAACACATGGACACAGGGAAGTGGGTACTACACACTGGGGTCTATTGGGGGAATAGGGGAGGGACAGCGGGGCAGGGAGCTGGGGAGGGATAGCCTGGGGAGAAATGCCAAATGTGGGTGAAGGGGAGGAAGGCAGCAAAACACACTGCCATGTGTGTACCTATGCAACTATCTTGCATGTTCTGCACATGTACCCCAAAACCTAAAATGCAATTAATAAAAAAATAAATGGGCGTCGCTGAAGATTTTTCATAAAATATTTAGTACAACATATAAGTCTGGATATAAAAATTATTCAATTCATAAAATATCAGATAAACTATGTTTACACTTCCTTTGTGCTCAAGGAAAGAGTTTGAACATATATTTACGAGAAAACAACAAAGGCGTGAGGGAGGTAATTTGCAAAGTCACCACGGGATGAGATTTCATAAGATCCTTTCCGGTTTGACCAGGGAGGTAGTTGTCCCTTTAGTGGAGGGAAAGAACGGATTTCTGCTACAGCGTCAGCACACCGTGGCTCTCACATTCAGAGCCCATGAACTAAAGAGACCAGTAATCAGCAGCAGGCTAGAGTGAGAGAAAACCAACAAACCCCTCCCTTCTCACTAGACCTAGCCAGAGTCAGTGTCTGGTCACCTTTAATTTCCACCTTACATGAGAGAGAACGCAGCTCTGAAAATTACCAACAGTGGAGAGATGGAGAGGAGTAAGGGATGCCTATGAAATATGTAGTTAGAAGACTTACTCAGAAAAAAAATTCCTCCTTAATTTTCTTCCCAAAAACTGGGAGGAGAGAATAGTCAAGCATAGTGTATAGGATAGTAACGGTAATCCAGATCAGAGAATGAAGGCAGTGGAGGCAACGCTCATCAACCCTCAACAGTGTTTCTATGGGGCAGGGTCTATGTACCACTAACTTTGTGGCAAGTCAGTTAACTCTTCTGAACCTCAGCTTCCTCCTGCTTAAAATGAGGGTATTGAACCAAAGTCCAAGAGGCTTCTCAACACTTAAATTATATGATTCTAGGATGATGAATGTTACAGTACATTCTTTGGCAACATCTGCATCTATTTAAGCTCATAAATGCTGAGAAGAAATATTTGGTATGCAGTCAAACCAGGAAGCAAGTAGCTCTGTTAAAATAAATGCTTACCTAACACTGCTGGAGCTCCAGGCTTATCAGCCTTTGCGGACTCCCATAGATGTGCATATCTTACAGCCCTGGGTAATGTTTCCCATCACCTAGATTTCTTGGGCTTCATTTAATTTTTATATCTAACTGATGACAGCTCTGAGTAATTTTAAATTGTTTATAAGGTTTAAAAAAGTGAACTTGTCAAAACAGTCGAAGACGAGCAAACTATTATGAATGATGTGGAAGGGGCATCACCTCAAGCAGACCCAAGAAAGAGTTAGTCTGAAGGAATAAATATCTTCTTCATAATAAACAGAAAAAACATTAGGTAACAAATCGGGGAGCAAATTGTGGGTCTCTGGCCACATTCAAACTACAGATGGGTGTGCTTAGCAGCACAGTGTTTTGCAAACTAACAAATTTGAGAGACTTTAGGACGGGCATGTTCTTATAGCCCCGGAAAGCATCCTGCTCATCTGCTCTACCAGCTACTGGCCCCATTACCCTACCCTTCTCACCGGTAGGCAAACTTCTTGGGTACCAGGGCATTTGAGTTTGGGAGTGGGAGGCAAACACTGAGCCCAACTCTTTTCTTCTGAGGCTGCAATTCATACCATGGAAACTTCCTAGATTACTAGTAGAAGAGACACACCTGTATACACTAGTATACTATGTATACTACTACATATAGAAGATACATACTATATACAGAAGATATATACTATACATACTAGTAGAAGAGACACACCTGTATACACTAGTATACTATGTATACTACTATATACAGAAGATACATACTATATACAGAAGATATATACTATACATACTAGTAGAAGAGACACACCTGTATACACTAGTATACTATGTATACTACTATATACAGAAGATACATACTATATACAGAAGATATATACTATACATACTAGTAGAAGAGACACACCTGTATACACTAGTATACTATGTATACTACTACATATAGAAGATACATACTATATACAGAAGATATATACTATACATACTAGAAGAGACACACCTGTATACACTAGTATACTATGTATACTACTATATACAGAAGATACATACTATATACAGAAGATATATACTATACATACTAGAAGAGACACACCTGTATACACTAGTATACTATGTATACTACTACATATAGAAGATACATACTATATACAGAAGATATATACTATACATACTAGTAGAAGAGACACACCTGTATACACTAGTATACTATGTATACTACTATATACAGAAGATACATACTATATACAGAAGATATATACTATACATACTAGAAGAGACACACCTGTATACACTAGTATACTATGTATACTACTATATACAGAAGATACATACTATATACAGAAGATATATACTATACATACTAGAAGAGACACACCTGTATACACTAGTATACTATGTATACTACTATATACAGAAGATACATACTATATACAGAAGATATATACTATACATACTAGTAGAAGAGACACACCTGTATACACTAGTATACTATGTATACTACTATATACAGAAGATACATACTATATACAGAAGATATATACTATACATACTAGTAGAAGAGACACACCTGTATACACTAGTATACTATGTATACTACTACATATAGAAGATACATACTATATACAGAAGATATATACTATACATACTAGTAGAAGAGACACACCTGTATACACTAGTATACTATGTATACTACTATATACAGAAGATACATACTATATACAGAAGATATATACTATACATACTAGTAGAAGAGACACACCTGTATACACTAGTATACTATGTATACTACTATATACAGAAGATACATACTATATACAGAAGATATATACTATACATACTAGTAGAAGAGACACACCTGTATACACTAGTATACTATGTATACTACTATATACAGAAGATACATACTATATACAGAAGATATATACTATACATACTAGAAGAGACACACCTGTATACACTAGTATACTATGTATACTACTACATATAGAAGATACATACTATATACAGAAGATATATACTATACATACTAGTAGAAGAGACACACCTGTATACACTAGTATACTATGTATACTACTATATACAGAAGATACATACTATATACAGAAGATATATACTATACATACTAGTAGAAGAGACACACCTGTATACACTAGTATACTATGTATACTACTACATACAGAAGATACATACTATATACAGAAGATATATACTATACATACTAGAAGAGACACACCTGTATACACTAGTATACTATGTATACTACTACATACAGAAGATATACACTTGCATATAATAGTAGAAGATATATACTATATATAGGAAAGCATTCTTTACCTCTAAATCTCATAGTTTTTGGGGTTTTTTTTGTTTTTGTTTTTGTTTTGAGTTGGAGTTTCGCTGTTGTTACCCAGGCTGGAGTGCAATGGCACAATCTTGGCTCACCGCAGCCTCCACCTTCTGGGTTCAAGCAATTCTCCTGCCTCAGCCTTCCGAGCAGCTGGGACTACATGCGCGCACCACCATGCCCAGCTAATTTTTGTATTTTTAGTAGAGACGGGGTTTCACCTTGTTGACCAGGATGGTCTCGATCTCTTGACCTCATGATCCAGCCGCCTTGGCCTCCCAAAGTGCTGGGATTACAGGCTTGAGCCACCGCACCCGGCCTAAATCTCATAGTTTTTATAGGGCCTGCTGTGTTTTAACAATCTTTTCAAAAAATAAAAACTTTCAAATTTAAAAGAATTTTAAAAAGAATCCTCACAAACGGTTCTCAGATAATTCATGGAATCAATGTTTCTCCAGATTATAAACTACATCAAAATTACAACATTTTTTAGTATCAAGTGTAAAAATTAAATTTTATTTTCATTTTTACGTTAGCATACCCTTCTTCTATAAAGACTCAGTCTTTTTGAAGGAAATAATCTCTTTGTGTTATAGTCAGACTAGTAGGTGCTCTAGTCAAATGTTATCATCCTGCCATTTGAAACGATTCCTAAATAATTGTTTGCAACCAAAAAATTACGAATTTTATGATTATCATAGAAAAATTAGCATCTTTACAACTATATTTTA